GGGTTAGCCTGAGGGGAGCGTTTCTTGAGCATACGCCGGACATCGACATGGTCGCGGCGGTGGGCAGAAATATCGTTGGCCTCCGAGACCGAGGCCAAAGCGAAGGCGATAACAAGGCAAAGGAGCGTGAGGGTGACCTTCCTGGGTTTTGTTGCGAACATGTTGTATATGGCTCTGGCCTAGTGAGACGTGAACGGTCGGAAAGAGCTGGAAAGCCCGTCAGCCTCAGCAGAGCGCGACGAAGGGATTAGGCGTGGGTAGGGACCAGCCGCGGTGGGAAGGGCGAAGATGGAAGAGAGAGGGAGAGAAGAAGATGGGTCGGCAGACTCACTTTACACCTGGCAGCAGAGCCTTTCACAGGCCTGGATGGTTGAAGGAGTGAAGATAAAAATGAGTGGGCAGGGGCACGGCCGTCGGGTGCAACAGTCGCGAGAAGGTCGAAACAAGGAAACCCTGGCAACGACACCTATCACTCAACTAGGCGCCCACCCGCCAGCCGACTCTCATCACTCGCATCGCTAGCCGCACTGCGTTCTTGTTGCCTCAGGCTCTACTATCAATACAACACCACAAAACTGGTATAATGTCTGCCAGAGATCGAAGTAATAATAATGTATCACTAGAACCACAAACCGAACTACAACATCTACCGCAATAGCAATGTCATACACTCGTCCGTCAATGCAATGTCATGACTATCCGGCCGAGGTCTTCATATTGTCAACAACTTCACCATGTCCATCAGCTGTTATGGCTCGTCAACGTCCACGACGTTACCGGCACAGACGGCGGCGTCACGTATTCGTTCGCCGCCATCTCTGCCCATTGTGGGCTGAATAGCACCTGCAGACTGTACGTCCCCGGTTCAAAGTTGATCATGATCACCGTCACCCCGGTGTTAGGCAGGTCTTCACCGCCCGGGGGCAGTGGCGGGTCCGTATCCAGCCGTGCTGCAGGCGTTTGCGTCGTGATGTTGTAGCCGTTCGCAGGACTCAGCACCTGCAGCAGCACTTTTTCGTTTCCGATCTGCAGTGTCGCGCCTTGTCCATCAGAGTCGACGGTTACGCTTGCGTTCGTGTGCACCCGCCACATGAAAGGAGTGTTCGTGGTAATATCGTCCTGAAGGAGAACTTGTCTCCTGCCATTGAGCATGCGGATCCCACGATGGAACGACGTTCTAATGCCGAACATCAGCGTGGACATATAGATACAAGGCATCTGTCAACTCACACATTCTCGTACGCGCTAGCAAGGTCAGCGGTGAAGAACGCGGTGGAGTTACCCGGAGGTGTGAACACTGTGCTTGATCCCTGGGTAACGTTGTCGGTCCCATAATCAATTGTGGGCTGAGCCGTCACCAGCTGGTTCGCGCGGTTCACCAAAATCGTGTTCTGGCCCTCCGTGCGCTTGCGGTAGTACAGCCACCGTTCACTGTCTTGCGTGTCATTGCTGAAATATCCCGGGTCGAGATAGTTCTCATCGCCGAGTTCGCCGATCCAGCGTGTGCCGAGGGCATCCAGGACAAAATCTCCGCAATCGAGGTCGTTGTGTGTCTGGTGGCCCTGCAAAGTACCTGCCTTCATGGCGATAAAAAGTGCGTCCTCATCTGTCCAGCTGCTCCGCATCGAACCCCAGCCGTCGGTATGATTGTTGAAGAATCCGTCCAAAGGCATTCCGTCCCAGAACGCACCAGAGACAGCGGGATTGTACCAGAACATACTCCACGGATCACTAGCAGCATCGTGCTGGTCACGCTGGAACAGCATGTATTCGGGGTGGTTATACTGGTCTCCGTAGAACAACATGGGGTTAGCAGTGGTCGAGTACGTCTGGACACCACTGTCACCCCATTCGAACATCGTGCCGGGGCCAGTAACATGCATGTGGAACAGACCAGTATATTGGAAGCCGGGGTTAGTCGACAGGAGGTCGAAGTCGGATCCAGTGGCCGTCACGAGTGACGAGGCCATTTCGGCATGGCCAGTGACACCGAAATACCAGTAGTTGGGGGTCTCTTGCCACGTACCGTCTGAGCTTACAGCTTCCGCGCAGTTAAGAATAGCATTGGGAATCGTGTACCCCAGGAGCTGCGCAGCAGTACCGGTCGGGTCGTCGTCTAGGATGGCCAGTGCGCCCATGGTAAGACCGCTGTTGCAGACACAGTTCCAGTTACCCTGCACTTCATCTGTCCACCAGCCATAGTAGAGGCCGTTGCTATTGGTGTATCCGACGACACCAGCCGTGAGGCCATACTCAATCATTGTCCACATGATCTGTTCCTTCTCGGTCGAGTTCCACGCGTCATACATCCAGTCATAGGCAATGGCGAACGCGGCGCTCATCTCTGCGGTGTCGAGGAAATGAGTCGGGTTCCATCGCTCAGAGGTGTCTGGACCAAACGAGTTGGTACCATTACCCGCGGCATTCTGTACGGACGCTTAGAATAACCCCAATCTCCGCGGCGCTACTGAAATGATGCGCACCTGAAGTTCCAAAAATGCTCTTTCCGACCACTTTGTATCGTTTGTCATGCGGTATACGTACGAGAATGCCTTGATCCTCATCTTGATCTGTCTCGCGATATCCAAAATGCCATTACCGCTGTCATAGTAATATGCGACGACGGGTTCGTTGTAATAGACGGTGGCATTAGCGAAGATCGAATCGTTCCAGTACTTCATGTATGGTTCGTGCTGAATTAGTTCTGGAAGTGCCTGCCACTTGTACGAGGGGGCAATAAGACGGGGACGATCGGGGCGGACCTGAGTCGGCGAGGGGGGACTGGGGGGTGTCCATGAATCGGTGGGCCAGCTGAGGCCAGAAGCTTGGGGCTCAAAAGTCGGGGTGGTGAACGCAGCGGTGTTAGTCTGGGAGAGAAGTGAGCGAGACGCCCATCGATGGAAACACGGACCGAACGCTCACCGTCGAAGGGTACAAGGGGAGCATGTAGAGGCTGTCGGTGCCCGTGGCGAATAAGCCGATCTGTTCTTGGGCACTGGCAGCAGCCCCGGTGGGCTGTGCGGCAGCATTGGACGAGACCGAAGAATTGTGGTGGGCTCGGCTACCCAGGACGCCGCCCAGGACGGCAGCAAGGATAATGGCTATGAGGACCGGGATGCCGATCAATACCCAGCGGCTAAAGCGTTTCTTCGAGTGGGCCTGGAGAGGAGCGACGAGGCCAGTGGAATCGTTGAAGTTGGGATTGGTGGAGCCATACGGATGCGGCGAAGGCTGGGGAGTGGCAAAGGGATTCGACTGTTGGGTGCTGGAATAATTGTGGGCCATGGGGGGCGGCGGCGGCCGACGAACAAAAGGAGGGACAAGCAGACGAGCTGCTGAAGTGGGGGGGGTGGAAGGGGGGAGGGAGACGAGGAGGACGAGTGCTCGTGGACACGCCGGGAGGAGGAGGAGGGTAAATAGCTCTAGTGGTGGTGTAAGAGATATGGCACCGACTGGCGGCATGCCTCGGCAAGTCATGCCCTCGAGGCCCACTTTTATCCCCTAAACTAAGACTTCTTGAAGCGCACTTGGGCGGCATCACCAGTGCGCCACGCGCAGGGGGCCGATCGGCTCCTCAAGTCTCAGATAGCGTGATGACGCAGGCACAATTCGGAGCCCATATATTCCGACCGCGCAAGTAACGCCGACACATGCAAAAGGTGAGCAAACGCAAACTCATTCTCCTACGAACACACTGGCAGCACCCATCCCCGTCCCAATGCACATCGAAGTCACCAGAATCTGCGCACAGAACGGTCAGCCATCGGACAGGCCAGCCGTCCCAGTCGTGCATACCTTGCCCTTTCTCCGTGCAAGCTCGTTGAGGCCAGTAGCAATTTGACGAGCACCTGTAGCGCGTGCAGACGCCCCCAGTCCGTCAGCACAATTCGACATCTCGACTACGCATCGGACTCATCTAACGGGTGTCCCAGGGCGATTGCACCACCATTCACATTTACCTTCGCAGGGTCGAGACCCAGCTTGCGCACACAGTACACCATCATCGATGCGAACGCCTCGTTGATCTGCATTTCGCCAACTCGACTCAGCCCTCGCATACGAGACGGCACAACCACTTGCCTCGAAAAGATCGACGTCATCTGTGGTGATGCCAGCTTGTTGCAGAACCTGTGGGATCGCAATGCTCGGACCGATGCCCATCACACGCGGAGCCAACCCAGCAACCGCAGTCGTGACGTGCTTTGCTAGGATGGCCAGCCCTAGCTCCTCTGCCTTTCTTCGGGTCATCAGCAAAACTGCCGCCGTGCCGTCAGTAATCTGGCTCGCATTCCCTCCGGTCGTCTGGGACGGCTTCCATTGGGGGAACGCCGGCCTGATCTTTAGCAGCTTCTCCGCCGTTGTCCCAGCCCTAATCCCGTCATCTTTAGACACCACTTTTGTCGCGCGTTTACCCGTCTCAGGATCTGGTTTCTCATACGCGGTGAACGGCACAATCTCGTTCGCAAAGTAACCCGACTTGTCTGCATGCTCGGCGCGCTGGAACGAAATGGACGCCCACTCGTCCATTTCCTGGCGCGAGATGTTGAAGTCACCCGCAACGTTCTCCGACGTCCACCCCATCGGCATTACGCTATCGCATGCAGCTTGGTTTGCCTTTATGCTATCACTTGAAGCCGGAGCGCCCTTATCTGGACTGACGCGGGCGCGGTAAGTTGCGATGATAGTGGCATAGCATATAACTGGAACACGTACTTCTGCGACATGCTCTCCATCCCTACTGCCAACCCGACCTCAATCTGCCCGGCGCGAATCTTGTTCGAAATATCAGTGACGGCCATCAGCCCAGAAGAGCAGAACCTGTTAATAGTCTGCACAGGTACGCTCTCGGGGAAGCCTGCGGCAAGAGCCGCCGTGCGGGCTTCGTAGGTAGCAGAGGGCGAAAGAACGGTGCCAACGGTGATATCGCCAACAAGGGCGGGATCAATACCCGAGTGTGCGATAGCTTGCTATTGGACAGAGATGGATGTGAGTGGAGTGAGACCCAATATGTGGTGGACGACTGCACCTTGAACATCTCCGCCAAGAGTTCGTCGCTCCTGAACATACGACATGAGAGCACGCTCTCAGTTGCAGGGCAGTGCTTACTTTGTGTACATGAATCCTCCGCCCTTGGCTCTGCAGAGGGGGGAGCGGACGGCCATGGTGATGACGACGTCGTCCGGGCTCTTGCGCTGGAGAGCGGCGACGCCCTTGGATGCGGGCGACATGTGTGAGACGAGCTGTTTGACGCGTTCCATGGCCATTGCTGGTGTAGACGAGGGGGAGAGGGAGAGAGAGAGGTGAAAGGCTGGGAACAGCCAAGGGTCGGTCACTGGGTGCCATGGCCGGGTCTGAGCTGAGACCCGACGCGGAGGACATGTGATAGCCGCATTAACGCGCCCGCATATAGTTTCCAGACAAACACGGACGCACACTTCTCCGCCGTATCTGAGGGCAGGCGAGCGCAGAACGCGGAGGATTGGAGAGCAGAGGCCCTTTGCGCAGGCAGCGAGCAGAGGTCAGCGAGCGCCAGGTCGATCGGACAGAGCGATTAGATAGATCTCGACCCGAATCCGACTGCTGCCACTCCCCCAGGGACATTTCCCTTCTGGATGGGTGCATGCCTCTTCTCTTTCTTGCCCGACTCTGCACCCCAGCTCCGCCTCTTATCTCTTATCTCCCCACGTCCACCATTTGCCATCTTACCTCACGAACACCAACTTTCCGTTGCTTTTCATCCCCCTCGCAATCAACACACATGCCGGTCACGGTCATCGCAGCAAAACCGACGGAAGAGGTCAAGGGAAAATTCAGGTTTATTGGTCAGTATAAGTATATGAAGAACTGTCACACTAAACTGATCCATCCTGCCCCCAGATATTGCCGGTGAGCAAACCCCATCAGGCACGCACCCAGCACAGACACGGAACCGCACACAGTGAATCTCACCGACCCCGTATTCAGAGGATACCACCACGGCAGGAAAAAACACGATGGTGAATCAAGTCTTTCCTGCCTCTTCCCCTGCTGATACCGTCTGTCCTTAGACGATCTCGAAGCCATGCTTGAGCGTTCCCGCGCTGCAGGAGTCGTCTCCATGATCATCACCGGCGGGAGCCTGCACGAGTCGAAGGAAGCTCTCGAACTCGCGCGGCAGCACGGTTTCTACGCCACCGTCGGCTGCCACCCCACGCGCTCTGCCCAGTTCGACCAGTTCAAGGGCGGCGCACAAGCATACCTTGCGGCGCTCGACGCCCTCATCGAGGGAAATCTTGAAGGGAAGGGCAGGGTCGTCGCGGTGGGCGAGTGCGGGCTTGGTGTGTGCCATTCTCCCCTCTTGTCCGGGCTTCCGTATCGACGTTGCTCTGAGACTACGACCGCACGCACTTTGCTGCCCCCGATGTGCAAAAGAGAAATTTCCGTGCGCCGCCCCCCTCCGCTCGCGCTCTGTCGGAGCTGACGCTGACGGGTCCCAGGGCTGCAGCTGTCCCTCGCGAAGAAGCACCATCTGCCGCTGTTCCTCCACTCGCGCGCCGCGCATGCCGACTTTGTCCAAATCCTCCGTGAGGAAGGATTCGGCGAAGCCGGTGGCCTGGCGGTCGGTGGCCACGGCGGCGTCGTGCACAGTTTCACCGGGACTGCCGAGGAGGCAGTTGAGCTCGTACGTTCCTTTGTTCGCCGACGAAAGACTGTCGACTGAAAGCCAATGTACAGATGGATATGGGTTTCCATATAGGGTGATTGTGGATTCAGCTGAAACGCCTCCTCTCCGCTCACATTTTGCTGCAGTCTCAACGGATGTTCTCTCAAAACCGCTGAAAATCTTGCCACCGCCAAGGCGATTCGCCCCGAGAGGATCATGTTCGAAACAGGTCCGTCTGATAGATTTGTTCTTTCGCCTTCTGACACCGACCCAGACGCACCCTGGTGCTCGCTCACATCCACGCATGCATCAAAGGCGCACCTGTCCTCCCTCCCGCCATCCCTCAAATCTCTCTATTTCCCTCCCTCCACCAAACCCGAGTCATTTGTCTATGGCCGCGCCGTCAAGGGGCGCAACGAGCCCACCGCGATCGGCGGTGTCGCATGGGTGATCCATAAACTCAACGACGGCATCCCATTCGAGAAAGTCACAGAGAAAGCGTGGAAGAACACAGTAGAGCTGTTTAGATTGCACGAGCTCCAGGCTGCGTAAGATCTACTAGTGGATTACATTTGGTATGATTAGCGATATTGCAGTAGATGTGTACATTGTGTAATCAACAGTGACGATTTCCAGGCATAACAGATTTTGCGATTGGGTACCTTTCCTTGCAAAGAGCAAGCGAAGCACGTTAGACTGTGATCTCCTTCAGTTCCGGATAGTGCTCGTTCAAAGCGTGCTGCACGACCTCCTGCGATGAGACCCAATTTGAGTGACGATTCAGCCTGGGAGAGCCCGGATCGACTTACTTCACTGCTACAGAAGTGCGCGTTGCACATATGCGAAGACGCGTCGGGCACATATTCGCACAGATACACTAACTGTTCTGACTCATCTGCAGGAGGATCACCATCGCACGTAGCGTCGCCAAGCTCTAGAGGCTCGCCGTCCACGGGCGGTGTCACAGGTTGCGGCTGAGGCTGAGGCTGCGCATCAGCAGCAGTTCGCAATTGCTCCAGCTCGAGTTTCAGCGACTCATTTTCATCCCTCAGGACAGCTTCGAGTGCGGCTTTCCTGCGAACATCATCGTTCGTCCTCTCATCCTTGTCCGTGAGAACCTTGCATTGCGCTTTCCATTTGTCGAGCTCCTCTTGCAACTTCTTGAGGCGATCTTCATACATGCTTTTGAGCATAGGGAGTCCTTCTTTGAGCTGCCCTGTGGTCACATTGTGTTGACGCTCGAGTTCCGCTTTTTCTGTCCCAACCTCAGAAGCGTGAGCAGAAGCCTTCCGATAAAACTCGCGAAACAACTCTCGCTCCTTCTCGGCGGACTCCTGGGCATGCCGCAGTTTGTCCACACTCGTCTTGAGTGTGTCCACCTTGGTCTCCATTTCGAATATGTACGAAGCGTGTTTCCGGCGCAACGTCGATACTTCCTGTTCAAACTGGACTCGTACTTCGCGCGTCTCTTCTATTGCCGCATCCAACTGCGCAGCGGACAGCTGGTGTGCTTCCGACAGCTTTTTGTTCTCTGCTTCAAGTTCGGCGACACGTAATTCAACGTCAGACTTCTCGTGTTCAAGTTTTGCAATCTGTAAAGACTTGTCCTCAAGTGCAAGCGTCAATTCCTTCATTTGAGATGAATGGATAGAATGTTCCTTGAAAGACATCCAAGTCAAAACAAGCAAAACATCGTTCGCGTTCGCTTTACGTACTTGTGATTGACTATCGACGTCAGCCCGCTGAGTGGTTGATGTAAGGGGGAATTCATCTGGGGATTCCATCGTAGCAGACTTGTTTGGAGAAGTCTTATTTCCACGTCGCCATCACCTGTCAGCAGACTATAGGGTATACAGATGAGAGGAGAGATGGAAACACACCTGAGATATTTTCAGCCGAGCTTCCTGCAAAGGACCAACTTTGGGCTTCGGGCCAGGCAAGGGGCGACCCATGGACAAAGCCTCTGCCGGCTGTTGCCCACCATCAAAATCAACGTAAGCATCCTCCATCTGCCTACTCAAGTCGTCGGCCGTAACCCCAGGATCTAGCATATCAGACTGTGCGACCGAGTCAGTATCAGGCGGCACTTGAGGGGATTCTGCAGGCGACGGGCTACGAGACGCTGTGAAAAGCCAATCGTAACTCTTGGAGCTTGGCCTCGAAGTAATGACCTCCGCAACACTTGACGAAGCCTCGGGCCGACGGCGAACTGCCTCTTCAGCAAGTCGCTGACCGCGCAAACGTAAGACTTGGTCGTCCTTGCGAGACATAGGATTCCTGTTATTGGGCTGCTCAAGAACATCCCTTTTTGCCTTAATGATAACTCGTTCGACAGCACGTGAGCTGCTCTTCTCCGGAGGGCTGAACTGCTCAATCGAACTGAGTGGTGGTTCAGGATCATCCACGATGTCGTCGACCGGGCTAGCGCTGCATTTAAGGAAGCATTAGTTCTTTGTGGGGTACTTTGACACGAAAAGAAACTAACTGAATCGGACTATCAACGGCAAGCATACTCGGGCGAGGCCTCATTCTAGATATCAATGAACCACTGCTGATTTTCGCGATTGGACGTGGTGCTCGTTGGGAGGTAGGAGGCAAGGCAGGTACCGCCGAGCTCGATGGCCTATCTTCCATAGGAGAGGCAGGTCCATGTGGTGACTGCGTCTCTGGAACAACACCATCTTGACTAAAATGATGTCAACGCCGACAGGAAACATCTAGGAGCGGAGGCTGACTTACAAGCTCATATTGTATCCCCAGAACATATCATTCTCAATAACCCGACCATCCAGGTCTTCAGAAGGAGGCCGCTTATCAGACTTGGCACCTTTAGGGGGCCCAATGCGGAAGATTTGCTGGGATGGTGGCTGGGCAGGTTTGGCGTTCTTTGGAGGGCCAACCCGGGTGATTTGTTGACGGGGTGGCCGTTGAGAGACGGACTTGATATGCCTAGGCGGACCTATCCGAGTAATCTGCTGAGGAATCTGCTGAGGAGATAGCGACGGGGGAGGAGACACCACAACCTCTACGATAATTTTGCGTCGCTTCTTAGGAGGTGGCCGCTTGTCGCCTGATACAGATTCTTCGTGAGATTCAGAATAAACGGCGCGACGCTTCTTGAGGAGCTGCCTAGGAGGTCCATCGGCCTGCTCGACCCATTAGCATCACGGCGTGATTTAGACAAACATAAACACCTTAATGGACGATACATATGAACTACGGTTGGACATAGTAGCTGTCGAGGCAGAACGCGTGGTTCCGGCTAATTTTGAGGTCCCTGCGGTTCTCGTGGATGTAGTGGATGTGCGTGGATTAGCTGCGCGGAAATGCGAAAACGCAGTCCAAAGCATGCGGCAAGAGAGATACACAGTACACACCTCGCGTTTTCCTAGCTCTCCTTTTTTTCTCCTGCGCATTCTCCCACCCCTCAATGACCGTGTCGTTGCAATTGGCCCTGTCAACCCAACTCGGGGGCCAAGGTTGGTTCGTTTCAGGATCAAGCCCCGCCCATTCGACTTTGTACCGAGCACCTTTCTGGGCGATGACCCTAATCACCTCCCAGTATTGTTCTTCGCCATTTTCTTGCATCAAGACCGCGATTAGTGACTAAGAGTTGAACATTGAATTGGCGTCGACACAGTGAGAGTGAGCCAGAGTGGTTCTAAGATCTGGGTTCAAACACCGCGGCTTTTCCGCGCCGGCAGTCACAAGCAGCCACATCTGAATAGACTCAAGTGATACAGCAGTGATGGTCCATAGACGCGGTGTCTCGCACCGGGATGTGGGCCTGAGCACCATGGAATAATTGCGGCACAGTCCATGAACATCACGTCCGAACCAGCATTCATATCATAGACTACTAACTAACAATACAAAGGAACTGCGGACTATCCAAGTACACATAACGTTGCGGGCTCGTGTTACAGTACGCGGTCTCGCAAAAAAAAAACTGCCGAAGAGCAGACATCCGACATAACAAAATGACGGCTATCAAACAGCGAATCGAAAGATCACAAAAATAGCGATACATATATGCATTACCAGATCTCCTGCACAGGGAAATATTGCGGAGGGAGGAATAAGCTTTCCATACCCTGCTGCGTGACATTTGCACCGCCAAGTGTTTGATCGGAAAGCCAAACGGGAAGTTGCTCATTGGAGGTTGCGTCGAAACCTCGCCAAATGTTATCGATGCTCGGGGTATATTGAGCGAACTGTTGAGAGAAGCCCATTGGTATGCCAGTAGAAGCGTCTGGGTGTGCCGAAAAAGATGAATCAAACGTTGGTGAGATGGGTGTCTGTTGACCTATTTGTGGTGTCATGTCTGATGAGTAGCCGGCATTGCTATGGGAGCGATGTCGAGAGTCTCGGGGTGAGCGAGACATAGAGGCTGACCGCTTCCTTGAGCGTTTCAACATGAGCTGCAGTGTCAACGCGTAGCGTTTCCCAGGCACTATCGAAACGAGTTGGAGATATTCAAAACAAAAAATAAAAGAGCACCCACCTTCCGAGAGTAAAGCACCGAGGTGTTCAACAAGTATTCTAATCTCTTCCATATCACATTGATCCGGGCTGATGTTCGCATGCTTAGAAAACATGATTTTCAGATACTTGTACCACTCACAAGAGACGAGCAAGTCGAAGCAATAGTGAGGCTGAGAATGTCGCCGTTGCATGAGTATAGTGAACAGCTGCAGGGTAGTGACTGTCAGCAAGATGAGTCGGGTATTGAGAACGTCACGCACCATATTTCATGCCTTCTCGATACGCAGGCGAGTTTACGGTGATATCCAAAATCTGTCGTCCGATCTGAATGGACCTGATAGCCAACTCGCGCTGGGCAGCCGGCATCCTTTGCATGTCATCTGGGCTATCCACACCTCTAAGGGCCGTGGCATTATGATATAGCTCGGCGTGAAGATGCTGGATCTGTAGGCTCTGTCGATAGAATGCTAATGGAGGGTAAGTGCACCGTATAGCAGGCAAAGTCGAAAAACTAACCAGCATCCTCGTACTTCTGAGAAAATGCGTGGTCCCAAGTGGCGTACCAATTGCGGAACTCTAGATCTGCTTCTCGGAGGACATTGAACGTTATGTCGTCAACAGGCTTGTCGAAAAGCGGGGAAAGATTGTTGTTAACTCGCTCTCGGATCGCCATCAGTTCCACCGTCGAGACAAGACGCATGTCATCTTCAATAGCCAAAGGATGCTGCAGAAGTAGGCGGCACTGCCATATGCTCTCATCATCTTTCAAGATAGATGGGCGTCCGGTTCCATATGACATTCTAGTGTGGTTTGAAGCCTGACTTGTTGGGAAGATACGCGGAACAAACTCACTGGTGTTCAAATAGATAAAGGCAAAACCATGTTCTCGCAGAGATCACCAATTGCCGGTCCTTAGTGGACGTAGACTGCTTGTTGGCTTTCATTCTTCTCAATAGCTCTGGCCAAGCCTTGTGCATAGCTATATTGGAAAAATCATGTCAGCATAAACCTTAAACGACATCATAACAACTAACATAGCTCCATAGCCATCCGAACTGCATGGCCTCCACTCAGCCAACCATTATCAGACCAACCAGATACAAGAACTGTTCGCTGCTCAGCCGTCGCGTTGTGCACAATCACAAGAACTCACTCATAGCTTGCACAGCTTCCTGCCGCGTAACTGGAGAAAACAAAGTAGCACAAGAAATGGTTTGGACTTCTTCCTGGCATTTCAAAAATGTCTCGCTCGGTTTGCCTATCTCGGTCAATATACCGCTTCGAACACACATATACCGAAGAACTCACCGCCTCCATCCCTAACTTGAGCAGCGATCATACAAATACAATCGACAGCGAAAGGAGAGCGTTCATGAAGAGCATCATATGTATCAACATTAGCATCGAAAACAGGCAGAAAAGTTGAGCAGCCGTGATAAAATCTGCGCACACACTTCTTAGAGGAAATATATCTATAGCATGAATCGACTCACATCCTGAACAATTCTCGTGCCTCTGCTTCGGGTATGGTATTTTTGGTGACAACTACACCCAGGGAAATTAGATTTACGGAGGTCCCTGAACGAGAAACATACCATCCGGGAAAGTGGTGAAGCGAAGTTGCTTGTGTTGTACCTTTCTCCTCTTGGCCGGTCGCGGCTCCGGAGAGCTGGTTCTCGCACGGCTAGGAGGTTCGCTAATTTCCCCCCCGTTTTCCTTCACATCAGCCCAGGATAAGTTTGCGTCATCTGTCAGACTTGCACCGCTGGAAACGGAACGTACCTTGGCGGCTCGTTCGATAGCGACGTCAGCTAACCCGCGCAACACTTCCCACGGCGCTACTAATCCGGAGGCGGGAAGCTCGCCGTCTTCCTCCTCAACGTCCGATGAATCCGCACTGGTGACGTTGGACGATGGAGGAGCGCCACGCTTTGAACCTGTCTCATGGCCGTTAGACGGCTTTAGAGTTTGACGAGACGTATCCGCAGGATTGTAACGCATAGATGACACGTTCGTAGGCTGCGATCGCGGAGGACCCATAGATTCGATAGATGAGAACGGTGGGAGTATGGTGCTCTGGGACGAGCTGCCCCGAGCGGCAGCGGGAGGCGGAGGTGGATACATCAAACTTGTACCATGGAGATCGGGTTGACTCTGGGGACGATGCGCTGCACCCAAAGAGGGACTGCGATAGACAGCAGAAATCTGGTCGCGATGATGACGATGCACGTTGGAGTTCAAGGCAGGTGTTATTGAAGCATGTACTTGCGACATGACCCCATTATTTGGCGTCGGTGTTTGCCCGGAGTGTCCAGTGTCTACCATCAGCTGTGGATGGCTCATGGCAGCAGAGGGTGTCGAAACACCAGGTGATCCTAGAGAATGTGCGCTTGGAGACTGATTCACAAATGAGGGATATGCAGATGGCGAACGTGAATGGAGAGGCCCGGCCCCTCGAAGATGTGTAGCAATCTCCAACAAGGTATTTTGAATCGCAGTCTGTGTCTGACGAATGTCCGCGACATGGGATTCAAGGCTACGTATGCGTCTTTAAAGATTCACTCAGTGATAAGGATACCATTGGGCGTTCGACAGGACACTCACTCTAAGCCAGCTTCTCCTGTGAGACTAGCTTCCCTCGTCGGCTTCTCGAAAAGACATTCCAGACCGGCGTGCTTGCATCTACGACAAGGAGGGTTCTCTGCACCCTCGCATCTCATCTTCTGCTTGCGACACGCATTCTACATTGCAGACATCAGGAAAGAGTTTACTGTGGCAGGAACGGGCGAAAACTCACGCATGCACCTGAACATGTCCGGAAGTGATTAATAGCAAAACGGCTAGACGAGACCCTATACACGTACGAGGAACTCGATTTAGTGTTCTGGCCTGCGGTTTCGGCTCGGCTTTGGCATGGCTCTTGGAATCGTTTGTGTCGGAGTCTTCTTGCTTCTTGACAGATGAGCTACTGCCGTTACTGGGGTCCATGTGAGCTCGACGGCGAGGCCGATGAAGAGAGGCGGGGCGGCGAGGAAAGGGTGCGTCTGCGGGATGACTGAGAGGTTGCCGGGGATGATTGGACGAAATGATCAGTCCGAGGAGAGCAAACAAGGACAAGCGTGGCCGGTTTGGTGACAGCCGTGACCAACACATGGTCTCCGATTTGACACGTCCTCTCCCATCCTATCCCGCTCGTCCCCCTTCCTTTCCAAACGCGATCCTATGTTCGCTGCTCCTCCCATCGACCTCGGGTTTGCAGCCAGGCTTCTGCTATCAACTGCCCTCTTCGTCTTATGGCGTTATCTGGTGATAGAACTGGGGATATCATCACAATCAGTACCTGCTACTTTGGTGTCGAGAGCGCCAAATACAGCATTCGCGGTGCGACCACGGCTTCTTTGCCAACGATGTCATTTCTTTGCGTGATCTAGATTTTCGAGACTGTTCTCCCGCCTGGCCATCTTGCAACATCGCACTGCGTAAGCCGGAAAATCCCTGAAACTGAGGTAACGCGGTTGCAACCTGATAGCCGTGTCACATGCCCCCTCACAGTAGTATTTAATATCCATGCTGTGAGATCGTAGTGCTCGACAAAGTGGATGGTCAAGCGAAGGGGCGAAGACCACGCTGAGTGTATACGCAGTGTCATTGTATCCAAAGCTAGAGTCATCTTGAGATGTATTCTGTCGCTTAGTCGTCGGTGCATGCAATTGCAATCTGCACGACAGTATGCATGGCTTTCGCTCTGAATTTTGTGGAGTTCGTTTCACGCACTACACATTCTGACTCTGCGAGGGGATTGTTGCGGAGCTGTTATAATGATATCGACTCACAACATGCTACTTGCTGTTGTCTGTTACTTATCGAGAATATACATTGTGCACTGGAGTACATAGTACACTCGAAAATGCCGATGCCGGGTGCATAGGCGCCTGGGATGCATACATAACCGCACACCTTTTCGCCTCGAGTTACGCACTGCTTCCACGGCACGTTTCACTCGTCACCTCGGTTTCGTTATAACGTCGCCGCCCCTTTGATCTTATCCTACACATCTTCTCCTTTGCACTTCAGTCTCTCTGCCATCTTTCGTCCCAGCATGTTCACGTCTTTGGCATCAAATCTTCTGAGGTAAGGTGCTTCAGCCCAACTTATTTAGACCTTGCTTACAGCGAATCGTTGCAGCGCCTGGTTTGCGTACTTGTTGCCATGTTATGAGACCTGGAAATCCCTTTCCCATAGACCCACCTCCGAGCAGGAACTTGAGCGTTGGGCAATGTACTGGTCAGTCGTAGGAGCCATTGTTGCATTCGAGCATGTTGCGGAATGGCTCGTGAGCTGGTGATTATCTCTCGCTATCTCGCCAGGTACAGTCTGATCGATTCATTCATGTCCAGGCTTCCGCTTTATTGGGAGATTAAAACGGCATTTCTCCTGTTCCTCTCTCTTTCGCAGACCCAGGTAATTATTTTTTCCCCATGCGTTGCCACAAAGATGTCAGTACTGACGTATTTATTGCTAGGGTTCAACGTGGGTATACAAGAGTTTCGTCGACCCATACCTGATCAGCAAGGAAGCGGAGATCGACGCTGGCATTGTACAGGCCAAGGCAAACATCATCGCGTTTCTGCAGGATCGCACCTCTGCGATCTGGCAATCGTTCTTGGAATTTGCGGCCTCTCAGCTCGGACAAACCCAGAACGCCGTCGCTCCTGGGTCGGCTCCCCCCAATCCCATGGCAATGGCGCAGGGCTTGTTCAGCACTTTAACTCTATTAGGCAATCTTCCTGCGCACCAGCGTCCCACTGCATCTCCAGCATATTCGTCAAGTTCCATCCATTCAGTTGAATCGTCTGATAGTTCGGCCGCGTCATCTTCCTACTCTTCCGAAGCACCTGTCTTTCCAGAACCTGAGCGTTCCTAAAACGACATTCATGACTTAGATTACCGAGAGTGGTGGTGGAGTTGAGTCCCACGTCGTGGGACTGAGTTACTCAATAAAATGACTAGGCCACTCCTTCCGATAAGTACAAGACACTGCATCCATACAAACCTGGACATTATATATATACAGGATGACGATATTGATTGGGTAGCAGGCATATCAACAACATCGTTAACGCACACTAACAACATTATATTTATTCGGATCATCGTCTCCATTTTGCATGTTTTTTCGACATATAGACGCAACTGACAACGCGTACTTTGCTCCTTAACCACGGTAAGATGTCTGCGTCTACTGCAGGGCACCCATCGATGATAAGCGTATCAATCTGTGCTGTTGGTACACTTGTCCGTAAGGCCGTGACATCCTCATCAGCTTCGGGAGAGGAATCCGTTGCAGAAGCAGGAATTCGCGTCTTCACGAGCTCAATAAGTGGCCCACTCTTGATATCAGGACAATAGGAGAAATCCAAATGCTTTAATAGAGGACACAATATTGTGGATCGGTTGATAGATGCTTGTACTGCGCCATTCTTGACCTGCTGTGTCTGTTGGATGGAGGAAGATGTAACCGTAGACTTTGCAAGGGTCTCGAGCACCTTATTGGCCTCGTCACCAACATGTTCCAGCTGAAGAACCTCTAATAACGGCGCTGAACGCAAAACATTGATCACGCTTTCCGCCGTAATCGCGCATCGCTGTATCTTGAGCTCTGTTAGCGAGCCCGCCGCGCCACTGTTCACCAAGTGTTGTAAAGCGCCGCCGAGAGGATGAGTGCCCCGACAAATGCGGAGCGTCTGGAGCGTGGAGAGCGAAAGCTGAGGGAATATTAAGTCAACGACGAAGTCGTAGTAGTCGACACTGAACTGCGTGAGGGATGGAAGGCTAATGCTCTCCTTATGCGTCACATCCTCAAGTGTCACAGTTAGAGAGACACCCATGAACCAGAAAGCGAGTGTGCGAAGACCAGGATTTGCGCGTAAAAACGATGCGATATCCGCGAGCGTAGTGGTGATCAGCGTGCCCTGGAACGAGAAATGTTCCAGACGTGTTATGTTCTGAGCAGCATTACCCCAAGCAAACTGAGAACGTTCGACAGAGAGCGTACGAACTCTCATATCGGGGATACTCCATAGCCAAGGGATTGGGCGGCTTTCGACACTGTCGCGCACAACAATAAATTCTGTGTCGCGCAACACACTCGCGGTCAGGTTTGGTAACCGGGAATGCATTTCACTAGTGGGAAACCCGTCCACAGTGAAAGCGCGGAGAGTATCCAGTGGCATATCCCTAAGTTCGTCAAGAGCCCACGATGCAGTCTCTAGGCCGGTGCAAAGACGAAGGTCAAGCAGCCTCCCCTTCGATCTGATCCTCCAAGCTTTTGCCTTTTTGACAGGATGTCTGTGCGAGAGTACGAGAGTGCTCCACAGGTTGGGTGTTTCGAGGATCGTGTTACGCCAACCTTTGCATACTTGCGCAAGGCCAATAACTCGTGTGTGATCATCTGCGACCACCGAAGAAAATATAATGGTCGCAATTTCTAGAGGCAACGACCCGAAGTGGCAGGCTGTCCTCGAGATATAGGTCTGATTTGCGCTCGCAATTTGTTCAAGGAGAGATTCAATGTTGTCGCGTCTTTTTGGTTCATTCCCAACACGATCTAGAGCTAGCTGGGCCATGCGTTGTGCGTGGTCAAACTTGTTTAACCTCATGAAAAGACGCGCGGATCTGCTATAACCCTAGGGAATATTAAGTGAGCGAAGCATTAGTATGTGACGACACCCGCACCTGCCACCGCTGAGGCGCGAGATCAATTACTCTTTTAGAGTCTCGCAAGGCATCCCTTATATTACCGAGCTTCTCGTTCACCGCTGCCCTTGAATCGTACACTATTGACTCTGGCTCTCCGGAGTTAATAGCCTGTTGATAGATGATCAGTTCCTGGGTTATACCGAAACGCTCGCAATGAGTGAAGGGTATGCAGACCTCGTCGAAAAGCACTAACGCTTCTTCAAACTTTCCTTCTCTGTAGTGATAGATACCCTTCCGAAAGGCCGTCTTCCAGTTTTCCATCAGCCTTAAAGGTAAATACGAAGTTGTGAAACAAGTTAGCTGTGGTGAGGCCTCTGGAGAGTCCAGAGTCCGATTAAGAGTGTCTGAGTCGCCGTCCACTGGCAGACCGTCGCGACGTCGGCGCGTTCCGTCACAGCGCGTCGCATTACTCGTCACGTCACATCGTGCTGTATTCCGCCTGGATCCGGACTGGCTCCGCGTCTTGTGCGTCGATTATGAGCGTCGACGACAGCTTCACCGTTGTCAAGCTGTCGTTGGCGGTTACTGGAGTGGTTTGGTACACGTTCCTGTGGGCTCTGTGTTTGCTTGGGTGCTATACCGCGTACGTCCATGTCTCCGTATGTTGTTGCTCCTCACTGACCGTTTTAAGCAGGCGAAAGCGATATAGACCGCGTAGTCGATCATCTACGCCTTCTCCACCCGCGACTTCTGTACCAGGCGTGTCAATACTACGACCACTCAAAGGACTTGATGCTAATCTTTACGACAATCTCGAGTCGACCTTCACGCAAGATTATTCAAATTTCGAGATTTTCTTCTGTGTTGCAGATGAAGGAGACCAAGCTCTTTCGGTGGTGAGAGATTTGATTGAAAAATATCCCAATGTCACGACGCATGTAATGATTGGTGTGTCAAATTTCACGATCTCAAGCATAAGGGTACAGCACTCATGTGCGAACAGGGGAAGAAGTTGTTGGTGTCAACCCGAAAATCAACAATATAATCCGTTCATATCGTCAAGCGGCTCATGATATCATATGGGTTCTGGATTCCAACGTGATGGTTGATCCAGGAACCTTGGCACGGGCAGTCGACGCACTCGATGGTCCCGCTGACATTGCACCTCTTTCCTCTCGCCGACGAGTTGCTTTAGTGCATCACATCCCCTTCGCGTGGTCAAGCGAATACTCGCTCGGCTCTCGTCTTGACGAAGCCTTTCTCAACACGAACCACGCCAAGATGTACCTTGCCATAAACTTTGTCGCGGTGGACTCGTGTGTCGTGGGGAAGTCCAACCTTTATCGACGCTCGGACGTGGAGCGTGTTGATGGTTCTCTCAAGCCTATCTCGCATGCGCAGGATGAGGCCACTTATTCAGGAGGGAGAGGACTAGCGGCATTTGGCCGGTTTCTTGCTGAGGACAACATGATTGCTAGTGCACTCTGGCACGAACTTGGCCTACGGCATGATTTGTCTTGCGATGTTGCCCGAAATGCGGTCGGGAACATGAGTTTGTCAGACTACTTCTGGAGACGTGTCAGATGGGTACGCGTGCGCAAACGGATGACCTTCGCTGCGACTTTGATCGAGCCACTTACGGAGTCGGTCGTCCTAGGAGGTCTTACTGCCCTTGCGCTGAAACACCTCTTAGGCATTCCGTCCTGGATCTTCTTGCCAGTCCACTATACACTATGGCTTCTAGTTGACCTAGACGTGTTTAAGTCGCTCGCAGGACATTCCCTTCCTTCTTCATCACGATGGGCATTTCTCGGTGCGTGGGCATCACGAGAACTTCTCGCTTTACCTATTTGGATTTTCGCGATAGTTGGAAATGAGGTAGAGTGGAGAGGGAAACATTATGAGATAATGCGTAATGGAGAAGTGCGGAGGGTCACTCCGAGGCGCGAGGGGATGTTTACGTGGATTAGGGGGGATGCAAGCAGACTGGACAGTTACGAACCGCTCAATTCAGAAGATGGATAGACGGATTCGATTTCATCTCCTCACAATATTGGTTTAGAGGTGGAGATGTCGAGTTCGTCAACTGTGCTTCTGGCCTATTTTTCGCGGCGACGTCCACGGGCAGAAGAAACGACTAACGAAAACAAGGACGTACCAGGCATTCCACAATCTTACTTCCATTTGTGCAGTTGACCGAGATGAATGATTCGATGCATGTCAATATTACTATGTACCGGCATTGTGCAATGGCCTATCCCATGCCGAGCATCGATAGCAGGAGTAAATTATGGCAGAGCCTCTGGTGTGACCACTACTACGACGAGCGTCAAAGCGCATGAACAACAGCGATAAATAAGGGATCGGTGATAGAGGCAGCCACTCAGGAGACTCGGAGTGAATGGGTCCGATCAAAGAACTGAATGTGTGCATACTCTCTCGTTGTCTAAATACTGAGTCTCAGATCTACCTTTAATTGACGACCCCCATCATACAGATCAAGCTATGGTAGAAGAGGACTCCATCAAAGAGAGAGTTATATCCACTGTCTTCGCGAAACGGAATGGGGAGAGTTATGTCGCACATATTAAGATTTGGGAAGATGCTGGAGAGGGAGAAGCAGGAAAGAAGCCGAGATTTATATTGCTCTCAAGTACGTGACCGTATCTAGTTTCTTTACCAAGGGTATGTTTGATGATCAACTACAGGGTCGACCGGCGCAGGCGGATTCATACACAAGTCGAAACTAAACTCTAATGGGTCTTTCTCTGTTGGAAAGACTTGGAAAGTTGTAGAACTTCGAGGGATTGAGGTCCTAAGCGTACGCACCCCGAACATGCTACCTCGAAATGTCCCTGAATGCACGAACAGTCGGGTGTCTTCAATATAACTATGGCCAGGACATATCGTTGGCAAACCGAAAGTCCAAATGACCAAACGAACTTCATAGCGGCATTGATAAAGCTTTTTCATGCCATTACTGGGGGCTCGGCTCCTTTACAATTAAGAGGTGTCACAGTTCCGGACGGTCCGTCAGGTATGTTGGTCAGTAGCCATTGATATGTGTTAGATGTGAAAGCGAGGTCTTGAAGCCCCCAGGCCACCACCCCTTGAATTCAGACGGATGGAGCGAGCACCAACCCCCACCAATGGTACACCGCTCCCCCCCGCATCACCCAGGAGGCCGATTGTGACGGAAGCCCAGCCCTCACGACCTTATAATGGACAACGTAGCGATCAAAATGACGGAGTTTCTCTTCCAAGTCCTCGTACTCGCGGCTCATCCATTTCGCGTCGATCGGATACGCCGTCTCGTGCTGATTCCCCTGATATTTCGCACCGGACAGGTGTCTCTGATCGACCAATTACGCCCGTACGAACACGTCCCAATACTCCATCTTCTTCCCAAACAGCTCCTATTCCGTTTGCTTTACGTCCAGGACATACACCGCGGGCCTCGATCTCCAATACAACTATTCGATCATTGGCTCCGGCGTCGAATGGCGTTCCCCCACCCCCGGTGGCTCGAACAGTTGATTTGAACGCCCCAATTCAGGCACGGCCAGTTGTTCAAACGACGGCTCTCGTTCCTCCGGTCCGCTTGAATGGGTCATCGTCTATAGGCGCAACTCTCGATGCTCATCCCGCATTACAATCTGCACAGCCGTCTCCAACGTCGGCGTATGTGTCTACTCCAGATGCTCTGCATTCTGTTCCCCTGCCGGCTGCTTCATTAGCACCCTCTCTCAAGACACCATCACGAGCACCGAGCAAAGGTCCTCCAGAATCTGGTCAACAACGTCGGGATAATGCGCGCGTATCCTTTTATGATCCTGCCAATCAAGCTGCTTTAAACCATCTGCTATCAGATGATACCATTACACATGACGATGACGATGGCGAGGGCGAAGGTGCAGCCGTACGAGAAGAAGAGAGTGCTAAGGCGACGTTAGAGAGCATGGAAGAAATGCTTGAGGGATATGAGTGGGCCAGTGACGATCTTCTGGGCCAGAGGTCTGTCACCGGGGCAGCGGATCGCATTGAAGCGCGCTTAATGGATGAACTAATGGCACTGGAGAAGGTAGGATCAGTAAATCCAATAGTGAATGTATCGTTAACGCCTCCTTTTTTAAATCTGGATAGGCTAATGTTCATTCATTCCTGGAATCTGATGATAGGATACATGTAGTCCTCAAATATCTTGACGAGTCGATCACGGAGCTCGACGGAATGGATAGTGTTCTGTCATCTTATAAGATTCATCTCAATGTACGTCTCTATGACACTGATCAATCGCATGATCATTTATCCTGTTTTATAGGCCGTGAATGAGGATATCGCCTTCATTCAATCTCAGAATCGTGGGCTGCAAGTGCAAACACAAAACCAGCGTGCACTGATGGACGAGCTGGAAGAGCTGCTGGTACGTAGCAAACTATATTTGCATTCAATTTTGCTGAAGCTGGCGTTAGCAAACCGTCCACGTGGATAGTGAGGCACTACTTGCCCTTACACAAGAATCGCTTGAGAAAGCCACAAGCATTCAGAGACTGGAAGGTGCCGCTTCTGAGCTGTACAAAGCCCTTCAAGCTGGTAGAGAACGAGGTACGTTTGGACAAAGTATGCCTTCCTTCTATGTTCTGACCATTTCCTTAGATATGGCAGCTACGATGGAGCGATTAGACGAATATAGGACTCATAATTCGCACTTTTGCAAGCGCATGCTGGACTTTTTGTCGATCATGGTCACTGCTCAGGTGATGCGTGTTATTTCGAGATATCGCAACTATTCTATTGACATTTCGTGAAGTCAAGAATGGTTTTGGCCGACAACGACGGTGTTATTAAGCTGCCCAACGGGCGTCCATCCCTCACGAACCACCGAAATCTGGAATCCTATCTCGGACGTTACTCTGGCCTGGTATTGTACTTGAAAGAAATGGATGAGGGTGTTTACGCTAAATTATGCGCAGTATGGCTATTACTGTTTAAGCCGACGAACTCCTCTGATTAATCTACAATAGGCTTATTTCTCCGCCGCTAGCGGTCTACATGCTACCCAAATCCGAGCATTGCTGACATTTTGTAGTAGTCTCGTCAAGAAGGCTTTTGATGATGATACGGAAGGTTGAGTTTTCGAAAATCATCGCAGTAATATACTGAAAATGAGTAGGGTTTGGTGGCACAACACCTACAACGACAACCGCTAAGGCTGCCTCGGGTATGCGTCGTGCTGGAACCATTGTACGCTCTCCTCTAGAAGGCCGTAGGGAGAGGAAGGAACGAAGCGATGGCGATATGATTGCCTCAGATGTGAGATTACTGAGCATTTACAACACCCCTCCCCTGACCTCCTGTTCATGTGGCATTCTGTAGGCGTTCGCACTCATTCTTGACCAAATGGCCCAGTCAATCTACCGTGAAGAGGAATTCATCGCAGATTTTCTCCAGATCAGCAATGCGGGCATTACCTTCGCCGATTACATGGGATTGGAAAATTATTTCCGGAGACAAGCTGCAAGGACAGCGGGGCTTAGCTCATCGACACAGAAACTCATTCGAGGGGCGATGGATCTGATATTTGGCTTCCTTCCCACAGAACTCAAGGCATGGCTAGACAGTGCCCTGCTGAAAGATAAGCTGTGAGCAGAGTTCCTTGATTTTCTAGTTCTCACTTGATGGCATCCGGTCCAGTCATATAGTAGGCATCATTGCAGCTCTTGAAAGGTTTCTCAGCGATGCTGAAGAACGGGGTAACGGGTTCTTACTCAATCTGTTGGAAAGACAACATGTCCGACTCAAGGGTGTGTTCGAGCGTAGGGTGGTAAGTACAACGCTCTATCCTGCTGCCAATTTCGAAAATCAGCTTTTATTAGAACGAACAAATAAAATCTATAGAGGACATGCGGTTGACTAGCAAGAAACGCAACGGGGTCGCACCGTTCATTAAGTACTTCCCGACGTACGTCGGTCGTGTCGAGACACAGCTCATTGGAGCAGATATCTTGGAAATTCGACAAACTGTGGACCAGGCCTACGACAAGATTGTCACTTCAATGTTCGATGCCCTCAAGCACATGGCCAAGATGGATGGGGAGGGAGAAGATAAAGGCCAACTCAATTATCATGTCATTGTGATCGGTAAGCAGCTGGGCCCTGTGCTTGAGTTACTCTGATGTCGTGCGCCAGAGAACATGCATTACTTCGTAGCGGAAATATCCCAGCTACAGATAGGCTCCGTAGCTTCCTTCTTAAGGCGTGCGCAGGTAATCTATGAGGAAAACCTCAACGCATACGTCAAGATTGTTCTTAGACGACCGTTCTTTAAAATCATTGTAAGTGGCACCTTGTGGCTCGGAAGGAAGAGAATCAACTTTGGATAGGATTACTTTGAAGGAGTTGAGCGTTTGCTCAAGACCACTGCGCCAACAGAGGTGTCTTCCAACAGTAGCTACTCACGATCTACATTGAAGAAGGTTGTCAAAGAGTATAATGCGAAAGATGTACGCAAACATATCGACTCGCTTTTCAAAAGAGTGGAGAAGCATTTCACAGAAGCTTCGGAGAAAGCTACGACAGATGATGTGAGCGTCGGTATAGCATCAGGAACGGTGTTAGTCGGCGTGTGGCGGGCATGCGAAGAGGAGCTCCTCCGAATAACGGAACTATTCGTGAAGAGGATCAATCAATGTTACAAAGACATGGGCGTTGCTTTAGAATATTCTGTCGCTGACGTTGAGGGGTCGTTCAAACGACATAGGATATCTGGCTAATTTATCTCTCCGAGCTGTAGAATCATATTATGGATGAATAATGGTATACCTGGCTTCTTCGGATATTGTACTTATATGCACTTGTATCATGATAGTACACGACGTCGTCCCCGCAGCCCTGGGGCTGCACTGCAGCGGCGTCTGTAGTTTGGCGCCGGGCGAAGATAATTATGTACGGCACGTGGTAGATTTTTTACGGACTCCCTCGTCGACCTCCACTACAATGCCAGTGCCTGTGGATGGGACGCGCCTTGCAGGGGCATCCAAGCCTCCTCGAAGCGCAAAGATCTCCCAGATTGTCGCTGTTCCACCATTGTCCTCGGTAGATGTAGGTGTGGCCCCCAGACCAAAGAAGCGGAAAGGCAAGGAGGCAGCATCTCAGGATGAATCTCCCTGGTCCTGGACGTTGCTTACAGACTCGTCTGCGAGTCGCGTGCCTCCAGTCCTCACAAAAGACGGCCGGTATGTTGTGAAATGTTTCCAGTGAACCGTCCTGATGTGTGTGCAGATATTTTCTCTCTGTCGTGGGTTCTTCTGTAAAGATTTTCTCTGTTGCGACTGGAGATCTCGTCTCGACGCTGGACGCATCTACTTCAGCTAACATGGATTCCGCTGGAAGCTCTACCGATACCTGCACTATCACTTCCGTCGTTCTCCATCCTCAAAATCCTTTTCAGCTGATCACTGGGTCAACGAGTGGGCTCGTCAGAATATGGGATTTTCTTGACGCTGTGCTTCTACAGACAATGTCCCTAAAGCATCCTATCACGCAAATCGCGGCGCACGAGAAGTTCAAAGACTGCATCTTTGTGGCGGTGACTCTGCCGAGTAAAAGACACAATAGCTCTGGTATGGTGCGCGGACTTCGTCTCGTCTGTATACCTTATTTAGCATTCTTTAATGTATTAGGTCAAGCAACTACGGAGGACAACGCCGCAGTATATCATATATCCCTGATCCCAAGCAACGAGACTGTTGGTTCACCGGTGCAACTTCCCTCCCGATCCAAAAAAATTGGGAAAACTCGGGTGACGACCGGCTTGGTCCTCTCGCCTAATGGCTCATGGCTGGTTGCGACAGGTGGACATAAGGCCTATGTCTGTTCTACATCGAATATGAAGGGAGGCTTCACGAAGTTCGTTTCTCCGGAGAAATTAACTTGTCTAGCTTTCCATCCTTCGGGAGAGTTCTTTGCCACGGGTGATCATGTCGGCTGTATCAGGCTTTGGTATTGTCTGTCTGATTCCTTAGCAAAATATGACGGGGTAGAGAGAAAAGCTCAGACTACAACGATGCACTGGCACTCCCATGCGGTATCCTCGATCACCTTCACGGCAAACGGTGCCTATTTGTTGAGTGGCGGTGAAGAGGGCGTGCTGGTGATATGGCAGCTGCATTCGGGCAAAAAGGAATTCGTACCTAGAGTGGGAGCTCCAATTAGTCATATTACTCTCATCAACGCTATCGATCAAGAGGAGCAATACTTGCTCGCTCTCGCGGACGCATCTTTCGTTTTCGTGCGCTCTGGGACCCTCAAAATCTCAAAGTCAATCGCTCGAGTAAAGTTAGGTTTGTATCTGAACCCCGTCCCTAGTTAATATCTTAATCGTTTCTGCTTAGATCCCGCGTTGTCATATAACAGACCGTCTGCATTAAGTGCAATTCCCCTTGCTATCCACACACCTACGTCGACCATTGTTCTTCCATCATCTCATCCATCATCCCTCCAATTCTTCTTGCCAGCCTCTTCGAAATTGGTTGCCGAGCTTGAAGTGTCGCCTTCAAATAGGATAGCTCGAAGGGACGAAAAGCCATTGGAGCCCTCCCGTGTGGAACATGCTGTGATCTCATATTCGGGCGAGTGGATGGTGACTATCGACTATCGAGACGCCGATGGTACATTTCATGGAGAGGTCTTCATGAAGTTTTGGTGGTGGGACCACAAGTCCCAGTTCTGGATATTAAACACTCGAGTCGATCGGCCACACGGGCTGAAGAAGGTCGTCGGCGTCGCGTTTCGTCCAAAAGCAGCGGCTCCAGAAGATCTTCTCGTAACTGTCGGTCAGGATGGGAATATAAAAACATGGGGAATCCGATTAGTAAAGCGCCAATCGGGAGAGATTGAAAGTGGGTTCCCTAATATTTATATCTTCAACTCTTGACCAAATAAATGATAGATTTTTGGGTGACCAGGACCACTACCCGATTCCGTGTAGAAACACCAAGCCATGTGTCGTGGTCAGCTGATGGGTCATTATTCATCGTCGCTATGGGGCCTCATGCTGCTCTGTATGATGGCGTAACGACTGCCCTATACCAGGTCTTGACATGTCCCGAATGTCAGCAAGCGAAAGCAGCTCATTTTGTCGGCCCTAGTGGTCGATACGTATTGGTGCTGGGAGCCAGAGAGCTTGTATTATGGGACTTGTTAACAAAATCATGTAAATGTCTTCATTCTTGCTGTCTGAATACGCTCTCACCTCATTCAAGTACGATGGCATTACCAGAGTTCCTCAGTTATCTCCGACTCTGTCGTGCATCCTAGAGAAGAATCTTTTGCAGTCTTCCAGCAACTGTCCTCTCAAGCAACTGAACCGCAATCGACCAGGGTCCTGTTATTCAATCCTTCCTCGCCAACTCCATTTGCATCTCGGACGCTACCGTTTGGTCTTCGTCGCGTCATCGCGCATCCTTATCTAGATCAATTATCCACAGCCTCATCATCATTTACCCTTCTAGGCATTACTCAGGCATGGAGCGTTGCAGTCTTGGGGGAAGATGTGCTCCTTCCGCAGGAAATGGGCTCGGTTGCCCAGAAGATCGTTGAGGAAGTGGGCGCACGTCGAAAGACGTTATTCCACGACATGTTCGGGGATGCTGCTTTTTCTGAATCAACTGCTCGTGTTCCAAGTACCAGTCCCCTTGTACGACCCTGGATGGGTCATGAGATTGCCGAGGTCTTTGATGCACCTTCTCACCTCATGCCTCCATTACGATCCCTCTTTGACACCCTCGTGGACGGGTTCCTGACCAGACAGTCTAATCATGGACAAGAACAACAAGAAACATCTACGCCCGAAGATGTTGAGATGGATGAAAACGCCAAACCTTTCACTGTTGAGACCCGGATTGAGCGTGCCGTGTATCGAGACGAGGTGGATACCTTTGTAGAGTTTTTCAAGCAATGTGCGATTCAAGGTGTGTGGCTTCTGATCCACGGCTCGATGTTCCGACTCATCTGTCTTAATCTTATAGCTATAGAACCCGGTCCTCCTTATCAAAATCCCCATACGAATGGAACACTGATACCGAAGGCGAATGGCGCTCAGCCCTCACGAGCAAACGATGTTGCGCGTTCATTCGCCAATAGTCCTATTCTCTCAAAGGGCACTCCGCGAAAAGCTCTAGCAGCCACGCCTACGTCTCATGATACACCGACAAGCAAGTCACCGTCCGTTATCATGACCGGTAAGAAGCGCAAAAAATCCATAGGATGATAGACCATATCTAAGATCCTGTAGTTTAACGCAATCATGCGCACTATCTGCATTGCTGTAGCTATCTCATCGCACATCTAGCTTATTCGTATCAGTAGCCAGGTCCCATAGTCTGCAGTGTTTATACAACATGGATTTTCCCGTCCGTCATTGTATATCTAGTAATCTACATGTAAGCGCCAGCAACATATGCATAGGTGAGAATCCATAGTGTTGTGAATAATATAGCTACATAAACATTATTTGCACCAACAGCCCATGTCATCCCAGTTTTCAGGTCATAACTTATTAGAATCTGAATCAACTAAAGTCTCGGTCGAATACTTAAAATCGAGAAGAAGAGAGGCACCCAATATGACATCTGGAGAGAAAATCCCATGGAGACTGGGGGGAATCCTCGGGCGCGACGAGCGCGTTACCACCGGTACCACAGGCACGTCAGTGACGCCAGAATGAGCCGGCGGCGTAACGCGAGTGCGGGGGACCATGAGTTTGTCGTCCTCATCCACGTCCTCCCCTGCTTCATCTTCCGTCGAATCATATTCCGTGTCGTAAGGCACGTCGGCATCAGAAAAACTCTCCTGGACATCGATCTTATCGAGCCTCCGCCGCTTCATCTTCTGTTCGCAGTACCAGTCGAGGCTCCACCTCCTCTTGGCCGAGCGCATAGGTAGAGGCGAAGTCTGGAGGCTGTCAAAATCATCGCTTGGTTCGTCCTTGATCAGATTCGGAGGTACGGGGGAGAGGGTGCGAAGCGACGCGACAGGAGAGGACAGACGATCAATGCAGAGCTTCTGCTTTTCTGTCTCTGACTGGGGCTGGGGAGACGTAAACTTCGGAGTGACCGTGGAGATGCCTGACGGTGTATAGAATTCGACATGTCTAGCTCGGAGCGCAGAGCCCTGAAGCCCCACGGTAAGCACGAGAGCATTAGCAGGCTGCGAGAGAGTATCCTCGCGAATGCTCTCCTGACCGAAATCAGGCGGAGGGGTGATGGCGCTGGTAATCTCGATGAATTTCGAGCTTCGTCTGCGAGAAGTCTGACGCCGGTTCTGAAACCAGATAGTCACCGACTTGAAATCCCTGAGGGCGAGTGGCGGCCAATGATGTCAGTAGACATGTTTTGCACCTCGTTGTGTTACGTTCGGACTGGACGTACATTCCGATCGCATCTGCGAGAGCCTGCTTAAGCCCTCGACTGGGGTGAGTCTGCTGCTTGAACAACATCTCCAGTTGTTGTAGCTGGCAGTCGGATATGCGAAATCGACCCTTCTTCGTAGCCGGAGCAGTCTCAGCTGTCGTCGCAGCTGTAGAATCATCTCGGCTGGGAGAAATTGGTTCATCCTTGGTCGGTGCCACAGCGTGCTTGATGTCCTCAGTGAGTGATGGGATATGCTTGGAGTCACGACGGGAACTCCGGACTGGACGCATGGTGGATGAGCACGCCAGACGGCATACACAAGACCTAGGGAGATCTGAAGAGAAAACTCACAGACGTTGAAGGTTTTAAACCGGTCGCGAGGCTGACTTGCGTCGTCGTCGTCGTCAGCCATTCAGCGCAAGTGGCGAGGTAGAATGCGACAATGTGAGCCGCCTTTGTTCTCCTCGGCCTGCTCCAGACACCGCGGTCCCGTGACCAAACCATTTCGATTTGCTGCCAATTCAAAGTCGCGAAATTGACGAGTAACGAGTAATGGCCCTACTGGCCGGTACATTATGGTATACTCCCCATACATTACATGCTGCTGGCCCCTCAGACACTGGAGAAGGGGTTATTCTATCATAAACAATCGTCAAGTCAATTCCAGGCTAACAAGTCCAGCGCGAAAACAACAATCAGAGCAGTCACGCGAAGATGAAACGTAGGTCCTCAACAACACTCACTTGCTACATCACAACAGGTCCAGGTGATGAGCGTCGACTTTGAACCCAAGTAAAGCCATCGCGGCCTCCATATCCGCAGGGGGAGCGGCGTCGTCTTTCTTGGCCATCAACACCCCAGGGGAAGCCTGGAGCGTCGTCAGCTGCATGGAACTGACATCGGGTGTAATAGCCTCGTACTCTTCCGTCTCCGTATCGTCACCTTCAAAGTACATGTCCGTGTCCTTGGAACCATCGAGCACCAATGGCGGTACATCGCAGTCAACCACTCGATTGTCGTGCGAGCTCCTCCCTGCCCGTGCCTTAGCACATGCCCATTCCAAAGACCTCAACCTCCTCGATCGCTCCGGGATAGCAGCAAGGCGCATACTCTCCGCGCCTGGTGATGATGGCAATGCCGGGGGAGATGATGGGATGTGATCCCACAAATTCGTCGACTCCCGCGTCGGAGAAACGGCATTCTTTGAGCGACCGGGGCGACGCGGAGTCAAAGGTGGTCGTAGGGGAGGAGCACCACTCTGGACCATGGGCTTTTCGCGCGAAGATGCAATGCAATCCAGCGATATAGTGCTCCCGACACGAGAAAGATGCCTGGATGAAGAGGCAGGGTATGCACTCCCCTCGTAGCGATTCTCCTGCGAGCCCCTATTCCAGACGAGCAGCTTCTTTTTGTGACTCCTACGTCTGTTCTGGAACCATGCGCTGACGGTCTTCAGCTCCCTAAACATGCGCACTCAGTAACGCAGAACGGTAGCTGATCAATATGTATCACCCACATGCCAAGCTGCTGAGCGAGTGCAACCCGTTCATCCTTCGATGGATGCGTCTTCAACTCGAACACCGCTAATAAGGCTACAGTCTGCTCGTGCAGGAGCCGTCTTCGGACGAAAGGGATTTCACCAGCGGATTTAACGTGCTTGGGCGCAACACTGGCTATGCTTGAAGAATCAACGGAAGACAGATATGATTCCGAGACCGTATGGTGAAAGGTCGACATGTTGCTTGGGGCCTAAGATAGCGGCATCCTACAAGATAGAACACGAACACGCGGTCACGACGCGAAGACATTGTGTATCGCGTCTACAAGTCCAAATAACGCGCCCCCACGTGGGACCACTGCACTGGCACTAGCATATTTCGAAGTGTGAAACTCAAAGGTTACATTGAACAATCCATGGCATTCAAATACAGTATTAATGTTGCATTATCTGAAGACGAGCACCCCGAGGAATAGCCTCATCCGAACATCCAATGATATCAGCTTCCTCTTGAGTGAGGGAATGACTGTCATAAACATCTACTTGTGTGACATCACGAAGCGCTTCCACCTGCTCTGCCTTGATAAGTTCAACGAAGGCCTTATTTACGTATGTCTTCCGGATGGGTGCTCCCATAGCACGCCGCCCGGTTAGCAACCTCAACATCGGGGCGACTTCTTGCATCGTGACGGGAGTCTGGAAGTGGAGCTTGAGGATCTCTAAAGCGGGGCAAACAGCGGTCGGCTCCTGGGCATAATCCGGCTTCTCTGGGTCGATAAAACGGTGTTCACGTGGGTCTGCCAGCAGCGCCTCTAATAAGAGTGGTCTCATATTGCCAAGTTTCAGGATGCGCAGCTTCCTAAGGGAATCCAGCCATCGGACGGTCTTGCCTAAACTCTCCGGATTTGTCTCGAGATTCACCGAATAGAGTGCGAGCAGCTTAATGTCTGGAAAGCGTTCGCGAATCCACGCGAAGAATGTCGAGTAGTCACTCCCTACGAAGTTGGCGAGTGTTAGACTCTTGAGCTGGGGAGCATTGAAACCAGCCACCACGACACACGCATAGTGGAGGTTCATGTCACCCATGTGCAGCTCTTGTAAATGAGGCAAGTACACCGGTTTAATCCTGCTCAGATCCGTGCCGTCCGGTCGCGGCCCTGCCGCGTGGCAAACGAGCTTGGTGAGCTTGGACTTCGTCAGCATTTCTCGGAATGTATCAGTACTGGGGCAAAGCTGCATGTTCATCCGCTTCAGGTCGATCACCGTTAAATTCGCAAAGGATAGATGTTCCCAATCAACCACGATACCGTCCAAGGTGAGCCATCTCAGCTTAGGAGTGTATCCATTGCATATTGCGATGGGGTCGCATAGGCGGGGGAGCTCGCTGGCGCGGAGCGGCTTAGTCCACATGTAGGGAGGACCAGTACGATATAGTTCGAATCGTTCCAAGAGAGGTGCGGGACCCGCGGCTCTCATTTTATCCAATACGGCAAGGGCAGGAAGTTCGTCATGAACAGCGATGACAAGAGTGCGAATGGTGGCCATCTTCCGCAACAAAATGTCAAGCAGCCAATTCATCTGCCCAAAAGTGAACCTGGGTGGATCCTCGATATCGTCGGTTTTTTTGGGCCTCTCGTCGATGCGTATGTCCAAAGGCGCAACACCAGCCCGGTAAAAGAAGTTCAGCGATCGGTTCCAGGGCGCTTTATCATTGAACCACACGACGTTCCAGAGCAGGCCATCCGCCAAGGCCACCTCCCGAAATTGCCTGCATACCCATGTGAGTCGTTGTCGCTGCACCATAGAGTCGGATATATTGTCAAAGGAACGGACTACATAGCGAAATATTTCCGTGAGTATTTCGGAGGGGAGTTCTCTGATCGGGAATATCTGCCAGATAAGGACTTTGCGGCGCAAGAGATCCCGGGCTAGAGCGACTTCGAGCTCGTGGACACGCCTCGGAGCAAGGAATTCGCGAAGCTGGGTGAATCTCCGGATGCGACTCTTGAGCAAGATTATTCGTGCGAGGGCACGTTCTGTCTCCATGATGGCCTCGTACGTTGGTTCCAGTAAGATGGATAAGTGCGCTCTCATTAGGAGATCGGAGTCCCACTTTTCTATGAGTGCGATGCGATCGCTCACGCTCGACATTGGAGGCCAACCTAAATATTGCCACGACATCTAGACGCGAGGGTCACCCAAGTTAGGATAGAGATCGTGTGACAACCTACAGACGAGATATGGGGGTGTCTGGAAAGTGTGTGCGAGAAGGACTAGGTGCAATGGACGGTGTTCGGACGGGCGGGCAGAACAGCGGTCGCTGTTAGAAGGGCGAGGCGTCGGAGTACAACGGGCAGCCTGGAGACCTTGTTCCTCAACCTGGTGGACAGCACGTTGTGGACCTGCATTGATGCGATAAGTGAATACAAGCCCTCGAGTGGCACAAGGAAATGGCGATGCGCGGAGTGGCAAAATAGAGTGTTTGTTTCTGTGGGCGCGCTGCTATAGCTCACTCCGAGCAACCTGTGTAACGTGTCTCATACACAGATACTCTCGTGGTTTTCGCAGGGGCCGGCAGGATAAGTGCCTTTGTGACTGTCCCAAGTCGGGTCCTCTACGTAGTGCCACTCGAACCTAATCGGACACCAGGGCCGAGCGGACTCACCTCGAGAGCAAGGAACAAGCCAGCCGTCTACGTCTCGTCCACGTCTTCAAAGCAGCCGCAAGAGAAACACCAGAATGGTAAGTGGCAAGCGGGGATTTTTGTATCGCACATAATGCCTTTAAAGGGCGTGATGTGGTAAGTGGGATCTCATGACAATGATCACGGATTATCATAATCAGGATGATTTAGGAGGCAAATGGTTGATCGTTCGGCTTTTTTAGCCATAACAGTGCACGGCCCGGACGGCCACTGCAAGCTTGAAGGGGGACGCAGAGACTTGAAAGGATCGAAGTTGCCAAGTTGTTGCAAGCGGGGACAATGCAAGGAGGAGTTGTCTTATCTGGCGTGATCGGCTCTGTCCGCGTCAGTGGCAGGCATGTACGACTGGCGACAATCAGGCAGTCGCAATAAAAAACATGCAACTCAGCGGAAACGATGTCGCATTCGCTCTCAGAGATGACATTCAAGTTGGTGTGATCACCATGCATGCAGGACGGCAGTATTATGATTATGTTTGCCCCCAGATCTGCTTCCGCTAGACTCACGATCGCCGTCATGATCATTGCAAGGCGCACCCGCATCATCTCGTTCACTCGATCTGCGATAGTCGCAAGTTTCACTCCACCCAATAACTGGATTTCGAGCCACATCTTGCCGTTCCATCCTCAGCCATGTCCACATATACACAAGTGATGCACAGATGCTTTTGCAACCACTGCTAACCAGTCAGCCAGAGGGTGGACTATGGTAGTACAACGCCATTATTCCCATTGATCACGGTTGTCCACTTCATCCCTCAATGCGACATTATCCTCATTGTTCGGAAGGCCAAGTTCGAATGATCGCAGGTGACGCTGTTCATGTGTAATCATACTGCCATTCATCGAATTTATCTTCATTCGCGTTAGTTCGTGAGTACCGTAGGTCCGTATATCAACTATATCAGTATCGTCATTACATCAAGGCGTACAACAGATCAGTATATCATCATATTCAGAGAAACAGCGTGGACAAGAGCAAAATAACCTCAAGACTCGCAGGGCTAGGCGTAACATAACGGGGAGTAAGGCAAGTCATACTCGTACAGCGGCGATACCGCTTTCGTTGAGTTGTGAATTAAGACACGGCAATAAGAACTGATAGCATCATAAAGTTATCGCGAAACCTAAAAAATTTAGACCAAGTCAAGGAAATGCGCCCGGAATAGGGTCGTCCTTAGCAGCAGGACGCGTTCCAGAACCAGACGCCTCGGGAGCCTTCACAGGAGAACGTAAGAGGAGGATCTCAAGTACCTCCATCACGATCGCGTCTTCCGCGTCCTTCGAGAGTTCTCCGTCTCGCGGGATGCGCGCGTTGACCTGCGCGGGAATGCTTGGATACAGCTCCGTCGTGAAGCCCATCTAGTCCCAGAATGAGAGACATATCGCAGAAATGAACAAGCGGACAACGTACATCACCAAGGCGTCTGGTGATAGCCTCTACGGCGGGAGCAAACGAGGGTCCAGCCGTCCGATGGTAACCGGTGCCGTGCATGGTGTGGTGGCGACGGATGGGGATGCTGTACATCTCCAGCTGGGGAAACTGTCCACGAGCGGCACTGATAATCTGAGTAGCGGGCTCGGACGACCCAACAACCTCCTGGCGCTGCCCAGCCGCAGAAGGATGATCGTCGTCACTCGTGGATATCTGCGCACTGCAAAGACCGCCACCGTGAGCTGCCGTCGTTTCGTAGTAACAAAGTGAGGTTCTACGTACCCTTCGCCAGACACGTTCAACCAACGCTCTTTGTTCTTCCGTCGCTCCACCCGCTCGCGGCGGTACTTTTCTTTCTCGGCCTTGTAGAGCTCTTTAGCAGTTTGGAGAGACTCCTTCATTTTCTCTGGAGACTCCTTTGGACTCTGTGTGATGCCATACATCGAGATCTCCGCATGCTCCAGTGAGCTATCAGGAGAGTCGAGATCATCAATGTCCAAGTCGGTTGACAATCCCATCCCGGTCCATTCAGCGCGCGGTGGAGGCACAGGGATGGGCCTGTCCCATACATCTGACGGACTACGGTAATGGCGAAGCCACCGATCATGCATGCGACGCCCGAGATGATGCGGGGGTGGCGGTGGTGGAGGTGGTGGCGGAGGGTAGTAATATGGGCCCCAAGGGTGGGGATAATGGCGGTGAGATGGCCATTCTGGGACCGGATGGGCTTGCCGCTCTCTGCCAAATGATCCATAACCAGGAGGAAGCGTCTGTTGTCGGACAGACGCAGACTGAGAAGAGGTATTAGGGCCCGGAGTGGGCGACGGGGGACGAGGTGGTAGTGGTGGTGGCGGTGGTGGCGGTGGTGCAACGTGCGGAGGCGGCGGTACAGGCGGAGGAACACAAGGAGTCAATGAAGGAGCAGGCTCAGCTTCAAGAAGAGACGAAATATCGTTGTATTTGCGCGAAACTTGGGGGCCCCGGTCGAATCCACGCCCATGGCCGAATGTAGACCTAGAGCTATCCTTTCTTACATGCTGTGCGAGAAACGGAGTAGGAGAGCCATCTCCAGAAGCACGCCTTTGTTCACTTGCTGGAGTAGAGGATGGGTTATTGGTGGAAAACGAAGGGGGTGCCTCTCGAAAAAAACCAGGCGAATCCCTTTCAGCACGAGGCGTGGAAGTTGCATTCGCGCGCGGGGTGTTGTTTGTGACATCCCCGATAACACGAACTACATTTGCGATGGCCTCGGCGATGCGACGTCCAGCAGCCTCCTCCGCGGCACGACGAGCACTTCCCCTAAGATCTGCAGAGCTGGCATAGCTGCGTCGAATTTCGTCTGCCGCACGAGCAACGGCGTCGCGGTGAGTGTGCCAATAAGTGCCATCGGATGCATTACGGACGAGGTTACGTACGCCTTCCGATAGCTCGGGATGAGATGCGAATACGGTAGAAAGCGTGCTGAACAGATTAGCGACGTCATTGGCGAGATTAGCCGTAGGTGTGGGTGTGGGAGGCGTGTCGCTGAGATCTGGAAGCGGCGGGTCTGGCGCAGCCTCAGCTGAAGTAGATGAGGCAACGCTGGCCGATGCTTTGGGCGTCGATTCTCCCCGAGTGGACTCCCCCCGAGAGGCTGTAGGGGAGGACATGCGCGTGCTAGACACATCCTTGACATTCGCACTGTTCATATCCATGACATGGATAGGATACTTCTCTGGTCTACGGGAGGAAACAACGGACTCGGTGGAGGAGCCAGAGGAGGAGACCTTGGACACTTTGCCTTTGCCCTTGCCTGCGAGAGGCGTCGAACCGGTGAGCTCAGAGTCAGCAACACTAACCGCAGATTGGTTATCTTGCACACGAGAACCATCAATATCGCTCTCAATGACCTCCACATACGCGTGCGGGCCGTCGTCCGCCAGCGGGTCGCTCTGGCCCGTGAACACAGATCCGAAGCCAGACGCGACACCCTGCCAACCGTCTTCAACTTCAAACATCATCGGTATGGATTGTCCAAAGGTGTTGCGGTACGTGGAACCCCGCGGGGTGGCGGGTAGCGGTTTGTTGCGCTCCGACCCCATGTCGTGTACGGCAAACTTCAAGTAGATGGGCTCGCCACCAGGAGGTACAACGAGTGTCCTGTAGTAGTCCTGGATTTCCTCTTCGGAGCTGAGCGTGACTTCGTCGTTGTCCACGTCGAGATAGGAGACAGCAACATCAACCAGCGGAATGTGGTACAGTGAATGAATTCTAGAGGCGAGCTTTTCCCAAGAAGGCGGGACGGCGTCGACAAACTTGCGAGTAAGGCCATCGGGGGGCCTGTAGAGCTTGATCTGGTATGTGGACATGATGTCTGCGGAGGGAATCGTCGGAGAAGGTGCTGCTTATATAGGAGAAGACTGTCTGAGTGGATTCAGACTCCGCAGTGCGCAGTGTATATGATCGAGACGCGTATAGTAGCTCCTTCTAAAAGTGGAATGCATTCGTGTCTTCAATATCACGCTGCGCGTTCTTCAGCTGCGCCTCAGCTGTGCACCAAGTCGGCCGTGGCTACGCATACTCGCAGCTCCGGACATGGAAGAGTGGTACAAACAGTCAAGCATCGGTACATTTGAAGGACATTCACTTTACTGTCTAGGTATTGTACATGCAACGTGTCTGATACATTTCTGTCACTTTTCACGCGAAGATGGCCATGCGCGGGTCAATGTCAGCAGGGTCGTTGAGCTGCACAGGAACAGCATCAGCTAACTGGGTCCACGTCTGACCACCCAAGCCACTTACCCGGAGGTTGACGTTCAACGAGCTCAGCTGCTTCATCTCATCGTCGGTGAGGGTAAATTGCTCAACCTGCAAGTTTTGCACCAAACGGTCGTGGTTGTTACTCTTGGGGATGACGGCCAAACCTTGCTGCACAGCCCAGCGAAGAAGAACCTGCGCGGTTGCTGCGGGGACGTCAGGAATTTGTTGCGGAGCTACAAAAATTCGGTACCTACATTTCGAGTGCTTCGACGCGATGCTCGCAACCGCGCTGTGCTGCAAGAGGTTCTCCGCGCCTTTGGACCCACCGAGCTCAACGTAGCTCTGAGGACCCAGAGATGAGTAGGCAGTGATGGCGACGCCGAGGGTGTTGCACAACTTGATCAGAGCCTCTTGGGACAGGTAAGGGTGAAGCTCGACCTGGTTAACAGCGGGCGCATATTTGGCATAGCGGAGAACATCAAGCAGAAGAGCGCCCTGGCAGTTACTGTGTAGATGTGAACATCACTAGCACCAGCTGTATTAGGCAACACGTACGAGACGCCAATGTTCTTGACCAGGCCCTCGTCCACAAGCGTCTCCATGGCACCCCAGGTCTCCGAGAAGGGCACGTTGGCTGTCAATCATTAGGCGCACTACTACGCTAGCTACTGAAAACACACTTACCGAGGTATACCTTGCCATCATCGCCAAACCATTCGGGCGGGTAGCGGTGAGCAGGGTCAACGTACTGGAGAGCAATGGGGAAGTGGATGAGGAACAAGTCAAAGTAGTCGATTCCCCAAAGTCCGAGTTGCTTCCTGGCCAAGGCACCGACCTAATAAAATCTGTTTGAATATGTTACGAGGGGGGGAATATTTGGCCTACGTGTTCACGGGCGTGGAAAGTGTTCCAAAGCTAGGGCTCTTATCAGACGCTGAGACACAGGGCACTCGTGGAGGCAACCCACCTTGGACGTCACAACTGGTGGGATCGTAGCAATGGTTATGAGTAATTTGGAGGATTTACAATGGGATACATATTCTCACAAACGTCCTCGCGCTTGACGATACCGTCGGAGATGGCCCTGCGCAGACCCTCGCCGGCTTCCTTCTCGTTTCCATAGTCTCCAGCGCCGTCCAAGAGACGGTAGCCGGCCTTGAGGGCGTTGTACACAGTCTGAACATGCAATATAAGCGGATTGTCCCAAAATCCGACCTTAGAATACACTCACGTCTGCACAGGTAGACTTGGTGACCTAGAGTAATAATAAAATGTGGATGAGCTATTGGTTATATGGCCATCTAGTGCTGCGCGGGAAGAACGCACCTTCCAGAGACCAAAGCTAGCGAATGGGATGAACGTGGTGAGCCATGCGTTCGATCGTATCACGTCGTGTAGCTTACCCGACCTGGGGCATCTGTGTACGATCGCGATGAAATGAGCGTCCGTCGCAAGTGGGACTGGTGAAGGGGGCATACCTTCTGCCCAGTTCTCTTGAGGACGATGGAAGCGGACATTGCTGTGTAAGTAGACGAGGGTGGGTTAAGGTGGAAAAACGATGAGATGGGTTCAGAGTCTGGGGCGAGGAGGGGGATTTTTATGAGGGGAGGGGGGGAGGCCGGGCCGTAGTGGAGAGATATCGATGTTGGCAGAGACGATCAGACCCATCGATGTTTCTGCTCTCAATTCTGGCAAAACATTTCTGTCGGCCATTTCTCGGCTATCCTTCCTCCTCACTTACCTTATTCGGACCTCCGGCGACTCCCGCCGTCTTCTCCCCGCACCTCCCGCCCGTCGTCCTCACCGTCGAGCTCAGCGTCCTTGCCGCTGTCCTCGTGCCGCTCCATGCACGTCCACATCCTCGGCTTCGGCGCCATTGGCACTCTCGTTGCTCATCACCTGCGCGCAGCCCTCGACCCAAAACATGTCATCTCTATCATCCATCGGTCTCCCGCCGTTTCCCTCAGCGTCGCTGAGGCAGGCGCATACGCTAGGCTCGAGCAGGATGGCGTTATCCTCACCCAACGCAATTTCCTTCACGAGTCCAGCGATCCTTTTGATGACATCGTCTACAGGAGACTCGAGGTCGAACACCGTCGCCTCAAGGTCAGAGCCTTGCCAGAGGGCGAGCGCAAAGAGCGGCTCTCCAGGGTCGTCAAACCCCAGGAGCCAACGCGCATTCACTCGCTCATAGTTGCAACAAAGGCTCCTGTTGCTGTCAAGGGCATCCGAATGCTCTTGCCACGTCTCTCGCCAGACAGCACGATTGTTCTCTTGCACAACGGCATGGGTGTCTACGAAGAACTCATGCGCACTACGTTCCGCAACAGCGAGCAGCGCCCCAACATTGTCGTCTCCGTCAACACGCACGGTGCGTGGCTGAAGAACCCCGCACACGTCGTTCACACTGGCGTCGGCGCCATCCAGCTCGGCATCATGCCTGACGGGCGCGGGCGCGACTTTGAAGCCAGTCTCGATACATCCCTACCCAAGGAGGACCAGAAACTCAATTTGGACGATATCACACCGCTCCTGGATGACACGCAGGCTCCGCGCTACATCTCGCTGCGCAACACAATGTCCGCACTCATGTCTATGTCCGCACTCAACGTCTCCTGGAATCCAATCTACGACATTCAGCTCGCCATGCGTCGCAAGCTCGTCGTCAACTCCGTCATCAACCCTATTACTGCGCTTCTTTCCTGTAGGAACGGCCAGCTCTTCGAGTCGGTCCCCGCCCGGCGCCTGTGCTATCAACTTTGCAGGGAAGCGTCTCGGGTCTTCTACGCGCAATGGCGTGCAGAGCTCAGGGATCTGGAACCCCCGAACTCAAGAATGTTCAGCAAGCTGGAGAACCGGTTTCCTCGCGAACTCTCAGCGGGGGGCCTCGTGGAAGAGTGCCAACGCGTGGCGCAGCTCACGCGGAACAACTTCTCGTCAATGCTCGTCGATGTTCGCAAAAACCAGAATACTGAAGTGGCGTATATGAACGGGTACATCGTTCACCTTGCGAAGAAATACGATGTCCGCGTGCCCACAATGCAAGCCCTGCTGGATCTCGTCTATTTGCGGACCTCGATTCCGCTGGACTTGCCCGTTGATGTTCAGTCCGTGCTATAGCCGCGGTCATTACGTCCTGTGCATGTAAGTGCGGTGTTTTCGTTTTCATTTCGCTTTAATGATCTTCGCTGGGTGCTTCTAGGACAACTGTTTCATCTTTGCTGGGTTTCTCAGCTGACGTTTAGAACCTTGTGGCCGTCATGCGTACCAGCTTCGCTACAGATGACCGGTCAACGGTGAATACTGTAAACCTGCTGCAGATGGCTGAGTGTGGTCGAGCTCATTCCGCGCGGAAGACTCGTACTTCCTGCGCTTACGCCGATAAGCACAGCCCGTGGAGCGTTGCATGCGCGACGTCATGAGTGTTCTGGGGTATATTGTCAATTATGACCGGCCGCCGACTCGCCATCAGCTTGTGGGCGGAACCTCAAGGAAATTTCAGGCAGCAGCATCTGTGAATGTCCTTATCGATGGGAAGTGTACATATTGTGACATTGTAGAATGTGTCGGTCCTTGTGATGCGGCTCTAACGCTGTACCGATGTCGTAAATCAGGATGGCTGTCGTTCATGTGTGCGGACAGCGGGTAAATGGCGGGACAACGTCGAGGAAAACACATCACCATTACTAGTAATAAGATACTGTCGTCGTAATCTCCCAACGAGCTTACGCGTTGCTGTGATATCAACGCGCCAACTGATCCTTCCAGTGGATTCCAGCTACTGGCGGAAGGCGTCCAAAAGTGCGGCATCCTCAAGCTGATATGCCTAATAGAGGCTAGCCGGCATCTAAGAGTTAGGTATCGTAGATTTGTAGGTACTATCGCGTCAGAGACTTTTCTTTAATGAACAGGGAGGATAGAGCTGCGAGGGCCGCCGATGCGACAGTGAACCACATTGCTACTTGCAAGCCATCGTTGTATGAATGTACCACCACAGAGCGAGTCGCGGGATCGAGTTCATTCATATAGTCCAGTGACTCTCTGACCCGGGTGATGATCTACGTAGGGTTAGATTAAGTTCAGTGAGATTCTCATGACTAATGACGCTGCGGTGGCCTGCACACTTACTTCTTCAACGTCGGAGCCCGTTAATCGCTGGCGTAACCGAACGCGGAGCGTCTCCTGGAAGAGCGTTGTCGCTACAGATAAGACAACGACGGATCCTAGCGAGCGGAACAGGTAGGATACTATCGTGCCACACAGTTAGCTTATCACCTTTACAGCATGTGCATGGGACTTGCCAGCAGTGGCAACAGCCTGATTCTTCAGTCCTGCGTTGGAGATGATAGCGATGAGGGTTGTTGTGAGAGCTCCCCCTGGGAAAACAGTATATGTGAGTTTGATAAGAGAAAGCGGAAAAGGATTCCTTACAGCCTCCCAGATTCATTGCAGCCAGACCTACAGATATCGGAACATAAGCCGACATTTTGGGACCAATGTAAGCAACACTCACTTGCGCCGAGGCCTATCAAAGCAAACTTCCAGGGTCCGGTGAACAGCGCGACTGACACAATCGCGCACGCAGACACCGAGTATGCGATAATGGTAAGGACATAGAACTTCCCTGTAGTCCGCATGATGAGACCAGCAGAAACGCTGCCGATGGCACCGCCGACAACTGCGGGAATGAGGGCCAATCCCACCTTTCCTGGATCGAAGCCTTGAACCGCTTGGAGGTACAGTGAGACATGGAATATGAGGGAGATTATCGCGCCACTGGAGAAGAAGTTGCACGCATAGCTTGCGAGCATCGTGCGATTGGCAATAATGAATTTCGGCGCAAACGGCTCTTTCGCCACTACCCATTCGACGATCCCGAACGCAAGGAAAAATATCGCAAATACGACGAAGCAGGCAATAGTGAGGCGATCTTTCCAGGAAACGTTACCACCTCTGTCTAATCCTAGGAGGAGGGCAAACACCGCGATCACAAGCGTGACTGCGCCGCCGAAGTCAACGCGCTTTAATTTCACCATGAAGTCGGATGACTCAGTTTTGGGAAGCTTGAAGCCAATAGAGAAAATGATCATGGCGAGAATGGTCAAGGGGACTTGAATCAGGAATGCCCTGTAAATCAAGAACATCAATATATTTGGACGCCGCCAATCAGCGTCCGACCGTTACTGACCATCTCCACCCTACCGTCTCTGCGAGCATTCCACCAAGCGGTGCGCCAGTTGCTTGGCCAGACGCAAACACAATATTGGCAACCCCTTGCCATGTCCCTCGGTTGCGCAGCGGCACTACGTCGGACATGATAATGACCCCAACACTATCTGCAACGTTAGAGAAGTCGGTAGGCAGCGCGGACTGGAACTTACGTGCTAATACCGCCCCCGCCCATTCCTGCAATAGCTCGCGCAACGATGAGAGTCGTCATACTGTTTGCGAGACCGCAGAGCAGGCAGCCGAAACAAAACACTGTTAATGCAAGTAACATGCAAAATTTGCGCCCGAAGATGTCGCTCAGCTGGTCGACATTAGTATGACTTCAAAGTGAGGGCTTACAAAACACCAACCTTGCCGTATAATGGTCTGGTAAAATAGCATGGGTCAGGTACAATAAACGTGGAGACAGAACGCGACTAACTGGAAACTCGTCAGGGTGAGCATGTACCCTGTCGTGATCCAGCTGGTATTCTCCAAATGATGGAACTGGCTCCCAATGTGCGCATATGTCGAGGCAACGATAGTATGGTCCATAGCCACCAGATATGTGCCCAGCATCATTGGTAAAATCTTGCAAGTAAAGACGCTCGTTAGGTTGCTTCACTGCCATCTGAGTGAGGATGCTACGTACGACTGCAGTGGCAGACAACTTGGCCTCAGGCCTCTCTTCTTCACTAGAAGAGTCCTCCCCTCGACCGTTAGTTTCATGTGAGTCCTCGACATCCCGTTGAGCCTCGTGAAGCAAAGGCGTCTCCTCGTTGACTGACATCCTGGTGGCTGCTCGATAGCCCGCTCTAGACTGCTGCGTGACGAGCAGTCAACGGAGAGGATGGAGGCGACGGGTAGAAGAAATGCGAGCCGAGTCAATGAGTCTCGTAATCGTCCCGCCCCCGAGCCGGCAGCCCGCATGCGTGGGATGGTGGTGCCAGTGGCTGGAGGTACGATACGGATCTACTGTCTGTGCCATGGACAGCAGATCCACAAGCCAGTGGCTTGGTCAAGCAGCTGACTGATCTCAGTCGGCGCATGGCCTAGTCGCTGATGACGTCGTGCAGTGTTTGAGGGCGAACAGAAAAATGATGAGGGTGTCGCAAGGACAAGCATCAAACACTTTCTAACCGCCCCGGGAGTCCGCTCCAGCCTCGCCCCGGCGCTTACATCGAGAAATTGAACGAGTAGTTGTACAAACAAAACACTAGACAGTAGAACAGTAATTACACTAATGCGCCAAAATACAAGCTTTTTACCTACTACACACCACCATGATGATGATGTTACAAGTACATCATACACGGCACCTTTTGCTACACCGGAACCGACACATATCTCAATCGTACCGGATCCCAAGCACAAGACAATGTCCGTCGTTTGACTTCTGTGGATAGCCGCAGATATGGCGACCCTAAACACATAATTGCACAAAACTAGCATCTAGAAATGGGAAAAGGGGAAGAGGCACTTCAAGCAAGCAAGAATGAGATAGTATCAAGATGAGTTAGTGTACCACTGGGCTGCGAGCCCTACAGTCCACAAGTTACGTGCGCCCGAGCGGCTCAGGTCGTTCTCGGCGCGACGGTTTTGCCGCAGATGAGAGTCCTACAGCAGCCCATGCGGCGCCAGCCTGGTTGTCCTCGGGGTACAAGGTTTTGAGTTCCTCGGTGGGCAAAAGCCTCCCGCGAGATTGTTCCTCGTCCACCTCCACGCCGTCAAAATATCGGCCGAAGATTGTGCGCCCCTCGAACATGTTCCGCGCAATTTCTCTGGTAACGGGTATCGGCTCCAGATCCTCTTCGGCTACGTCTGAGACACACATACATAAGTCTATGAGAATGAAAGTATGCATCGGGTGCGCTCACATCTCTTGGCGCCATCGACCGTCACAACCCAGTAAAAGGGCTGATCCCAGCCTCGCCTGAGGCGCTGAACTTCAATTACAGGCGTGAGGTCCTCTTTCGCCAGGCAAAGCGGCTAGAGGGGCAGTAGTGAGATCCAGAGACAGTTCCCGGCTCAGCAACGAGAGGACTTACGTGCCAGCCGATGACACACCCGACGTAGTCGTACCACAGGTGGCGCACAACCATTCCAACAAAATATTTCACAGAATGAGTAGACCGCATTGACATCATCCTGGCAGCCTCTTCTTCCGTGTCTACGAGGTCCGTGCAATGCCTCGACAGACCCGCACGCGCTGACGAAGTGAGTCTCGGGGACAAGACGTCGTCCAAGACCGCAAGGGCATCGAGCGGCTTCGAGTCCATGATGTGAGAGAGGATCTGGTTATCCTGCGCCTGGAGCAGGAAAACGCAGAACGACGCGTAGCTGCACCACGTAAACTTCTCTACGGCCGCGTCCATTGTGCGCCGCTGGTTCCAGCGGACGGATATGATTATATTCGCTGCGGCACGGTGCAGCATGATACTAATGTTGCATGGTCGAATGAAGTCGATTCGCGCGTCGGAAGGAAGGCCCATCTCGGCGAGCATCAAGGCCGGATCATTGCTTGTAAAAACAAAGGGAGGCTCATCCTTGCACAGGTCAAAAATCATCTCCCGCTCTTCTGGGTTCTGGGGAGCGATATGACAAAGGACCTTCCCGGGGAAGTTGGTAGGCGACGCTCGTATACCGAGCCGCTGACAAACGGCCACAAAGATGTATACAAGGGACATGGGGATTGTCCTCCGGTTCTCCTGTTGCATCAATCCATGCGGAAATTGGTTCAGGAGGTTGTAAAAGTCGACACCTATGAGGGTCCGATAGAAATTAGCTCAGAACGAGAGAGCGAGTAATGGAAATTCACTTTCTGCATTTTTGAACCCCATCTCGCGCAGCGCCGTGCGGATGTGCACACAGAGAGCCCGGAGGTCGTAATTTGTGCTCTCCGGGTCAAGTACGACACCTGCACTGACAAGCTGTTTGCGACATTGGTCCGCCAACCCATTCAGCCACACACTAACCTATTCCACCGACTCGTAAGGATCAAATTGAAGAGTATCGAAGTGTGAAATCGACGTACCTTCTTTGGCGACTCGTCGAAAAACGCAGACAGCCCCGCAAGAGCCTCCTCGAAAGAAACCGTCTCGTCCGCACTACTGTACAGACGCACCCACTGGCCCAACGCATACCGCCTCGCAATCACGCCCAACATCGCCCTCGCCCAATACCGGCGCGGCAGCGCGTGCGGGACCTCCGGGGCCTCCTCGCCCTCCTCTCTCCCCTCGTCCGCGCCCACGCGGAAGTAGACCGGGAGCGGGAGCTGCGCCTCGATCTCCAGCGCATCCCACACGTCGAACGAGTACTCCTGCGCGATCTTGCGCGCCACCAAGTGCCGCCCACAGAGGTGCAGCCTGATCTCGTCCACCGCCACAAGTGCGGCGCGGTCCAGCGCACGGCGCGCAGCGTACATGCGCGCCCAGTCCCCGCCCGTCTCAGCGGCACGGCGCGCCTCGTTCTCCTCGACGCGCTCGGTGTAGCGTGCGCGGTAGTGGGGCTCCCAGAGGCCCGGGTGGAGCGCGACGGCGCGGAGGTGCCTGTTCGTGCAGAGGCAGCTCGCGAGCGTTTTGGCACTGCTGTCGGCGTGGTCGCGGGCGGGCGGGAAGAAGCTGAGGATGTGGGCGTAGAGCTCGGTGGGGAGACGTGACCAGGGTGGCTCGGGGGTGCCAGAGTCGACGTCCATGGCTGGCAGTGGTGAGAGGAACGTTAGGGTAGTGAGGGGCGTTTGAAAGCTCCAATAGCAAACAAATTTTTGGAAGCGAGAGGCTTTATGCAGCGGGCTCCACGGTCTGGGTTGAATGAATGCGGGCACGGTCAGAGCGAGTGGCCGAGCAGGTGCGCTGCAAAGGCAGTTTGACCACTCGTCGCAGCACTGATCGTCGCCGGCGGCTGGGCCACATCATTCTCGATCACTGGATGCCTCCACCCTCGGTTTCGCTGAGTATAGCACTCTGCCTGCCGCTTGGGCTCATGGCGCTGGATCCAAGGCCCGGCTGCAGTGGCTATCCTGCTCATGCCCCTTATCGCAATGCCCAGAAGATGCAATTTTCCAGTCATGTGTCGACCTTTTCAAGATGCGCACTTCGGACGAGCAGGAAAAGTAACTACTGCACTGGATCCAACGTCGACTGTCATCAAGCAATAGTGAAAGCACCAGACAGACGCGCAGAAGAGCAAAACGCAGGACACCATCGACCAGGCATTCTGTTGTTGAAAATATTCTACCGTCACCAACCCATATGTACTAATGAAAACACGGGCAAAGGTCGGATATCGTGCCCATCTATGCAGACCAGCGTCCAAGTTCGCACCGGAACGTGTACTAGGTCCCAAAATAATTCCATGCTTGTCCGTGTCCCATGCAGTATCTTCCGCGGAGATTCGTGCGGCCGATGATCGCGTCAGATCGAAGGGAATAGTGAGAGTCATGATGACCCGCTTTTCAGTGCTTCAGTGGGCATCGGCATCCTTCACTCCCCACTTGACAACGCGCGTCGCGCCAGCATGCCAATCGTGTACTCGGCGTCGAGATAACGTCGTAAATGTCGAGCGGTCCGTGCCGATGAATCCAAGCCCGTTCGACTGGATAGCAGCGTCAAGAATAACCGTATACCTATGCAAAGGTTACCCGTGAGTAATGCGACTCATCAAGCATGCAGCAATAGACAAGGTATCTCGAGGGAACACATACCATTTACCGTATGTCTGCGCGGTCTGCCACGCATCATGATCGATCCTGACCCATCCGCGCGACGTCACATCGGCCCACCACGCTTCGTCAGTCTCGTCCGTCGTCACAATCACTCTGTTATCTGGTATGGACACGTAATGGCGCTCACGTATCTCGTCCTGCACCTCTCTGTCAATTCATGCGCGATCAGCATCGAAGAACTCGAGCCGAATAGCAAGCTTGGTGGAACACTTACTGGACGCGCCTAGCAATGGCGGAGATCGGAGCAAAGCAGTCTTCGGGGGCGGTGGTTGAGGGGCACCAACTACGGAAATCCCCGTGTCGAACATGAATCGATATGTACTAATGATCGTGGTTGAGCAGGGTAGCAGACACATTGAGGACATAAGAGGGACGTACGGGAGGGGTAGCATCACTTTCTAGCAGACCGAATGATCGCCTGACATACGACGCGGCTAGGTCCTCGATACGCGGCGTCCACCGTAGATAGGTACCTACGAATCGCCACGCAGGGGCATAATCGTACTCGTATTCAAACGACTGTGAAGACGTTTAGCATCATACTTCGCAAAAAAAGGTTTATCTTCGGTCTTACCTGCTGAGCGCACAAGTAATACAGGTAATCAAAACATAATACCTGCTCGTCGGGATCGAGGGTGACTTGGTGGTGGGGGGACGGCGAGGGATTGCCGAGGTATCTGGAACGGTCTTCTGAGAAGCCAAATCGAGCGACAGACCAGAACGTGCTGTGCTGGTCATGCTCGTAGTTTGGTATCATCTTAACCCATTCCGGTGTCCTCGTGTACGATATGTCTAGAGGACCGTCATTTATGAGCCCAACGCGACAGCTGGAGATGAAATTCGCATTTACCTAGCTGTAACCAATCAGGGATCGAGCTGATTCTGGGAGCGTGCTCGTGATACTGCACAGATTCCCAAAGATTCCAGCAGCCTATGTCCTCGAGCTGAGGACTGTACGGATCTTTGACATCTCTCCACTCAATGATATCGATGCCCGAGTCCTGTATAAACCGAGGAACGTCGAAAACGTCACCAAAGGGAATGTTTCCGGCCTCGCCGCCAACGTGAGAGGGCGTAAAGACCGAAATGAGGGGCACGCGGCCCGTGAGGACGCCAAGATAGATGAGATTGGCATAAGTCATTACGTCGTTGGCTATAGACGGTGGAGCGGGCGATAGGGAACAGATCGCATGGAAGGAATAGTAAGTGTGACAGGATGGGGGAACAAGTAAAGGGACGCACTCCAACCGGCTGAGATCCAGGAAGTGATGTAAAGGGTGTCATTGCGGAGGTTGTCGCGGAAACGCTGGGTAGGTGGGCCGAGGACGTATGGTGAATGTGAAGGCGTATCTGCAACCTTGTCTTGGATGGCAAGAGATGAGCTGTTGGTCTCAAGAGCACCGGTCTCGGGCTGGATATTCTCGGGAGGTGGGACGGTACCAAGAGTGTCCGGGCGGGACGCAAATATGGAAACGGAGGCGAAGGTAATGAGAGAGAGAGTAGAGAGCGAAGCAAACGCCATGAGAATGAGGCGTCTTAGTCTTGGATTAATGCGGAAGACGCGGTGGATCGAAAAGGACGGTTGGAGGGGCGGGAGATGCTCCTTGAGGAGTGGCTCGCTGGACTCTGCGCGATCATGAGCGGCGTAGTCATCGCGGAGGTCGTCGAAGGAGCCTTGTTCCTTCATGGCGGGGTACTGGAAAGCTGGGAGACGCTGGGGGTTGGGAGGGACGAGCCATGACTGAAATGCGGCGGATGGAGAGTCACGCAGAGCGCCACTCGAGTCGCCTCTCCTGACCCGATCCCATCTCTCGCGCCTCCCGTCTGTCACGCGCGTGACTGCAATCCCCAGTGCCGACAGTCACGGTGGCGACAAGCACTCCTGACCATCACGCCATCATCATCGCCCAATATCAATGCCCGCCCGGAGACATGTTGGCTACACGCGCAGCCTGAGGGCGGTCGATAGCACTGGCCTTCGGAGTTCGTTTTCCAGCCCTCGTGTTCGCGCAAGACCCTGCTCTAGCGCACACGGGCGCGGATAGACCGCATTTCGGCTTCGATGTATCGCGGAAGAATGGGCCTCGGCGCACTAGTCTGTTGTCGTCCTCAGCATCTCCTGCGGCTTCAGCGATGTGCCTCCCCTGTAAGATCGAGACTCTGATCTCTCCTGTCCGTCTCCGGCGGCGGGTAAGTCGGATTCATCTGGATGTGAAACACGCCACTTTTGATCCTGAACCCTGATCCGTCACATAACATAAGTCGACGACGACTCCCGCTGTGACCTCCTCCTTTGTCCTCGACAGCCATGGACCCCTCCGCTAGGTCCGACAGTCCCCAGCCATGGAAGGTCGCCGCTGTGGTCTCGTTCTACATGAGTGCCGCCCTTGTCGTAAGTTCTTTCACCTCCTCATGGCCTCCTCTATTAACTAGTTGTCTCAGATGGTTTTTGTGTAAGCTCTTCACTTATCTCTCCCATCTACTCAGTCTGAACACCACTGTTCACAGCAACAAGACCGTCCTCAACAATGCCCCCGAGCTGCCTCTCATGTTCCTCTTCCTCCAGCTCGTAATCGCGGTTATCCTCCTCCGCCTCACAGCCCGCTTCACGCATCGCGTCGAGATCCCCGACTTTGACTGGTCGACCGCCAAGCAACTCACCCCTGTCACCCTCGTCAATGTCATAGGTCTCGTCTTCAACATTTACTGCCTTCGCGGCGTAGATGCTTCCTTCTTTCAGGTGCGAGATCCGTACCACACAATCCCGTCTTTTCATCTCGGTTGACTCGCTCTGCGCCGTGCGCAAGCTGACGTTCTCTTTGACCGATGCTTTTCAGATTGCCCGCGGGCTTGTACTCCCGTTTACCATAGCCGTTTCATCCCTCGAAACCCGCTCCTTGCCATCGTGGAGTGTAGTGGCTGCAGCAACCACAGTCAGCATCGGCTTCTTCCTTGGCATCGCACCCCCATCATTCGAGAGTCTCTCACTTCACGCGCTCCCCTCACTCGCTATGCGCCCGGACACACACTGGCTGTCAATCTTATACGGCGTCCTCTCTTCCCTTTTCATTGCGGTGCACTCCGTTCTCATCAAGCTCTCACTCCCGCATGCGAATAACAGCACAATACAACTCGCGTACTGGCAGAACCTTGGCTCGGCCATATTTCTCTTCCCGGTGATCCTCCTTCAGGGCGAAGTCTACGGGCTTTGGTGGTTCCTGCACGTCGCCGGCTGGGATAAGCAGACGTTCCTGGTCGGGACCGCTGTGACCGGCTTATTCGGTTTCCTTCTCTGCGTCGCAGGACTGCTGAGCATCAAGGTGACGAGCCCGATCACGCACATGTTCTCCAGCGTGAGTGTTTTGTCCCATCCCGGGGAGAGCGCACCCAACTGACGTACTATGTCCTCTTATACCCCGAATCTATTGGATGGTGATTAGGCTGCACGTTCTGTCATTCAGACTTTGCTTGGCGTATTGGTTTTCCAAGATATCCTTACTACGTACGTGTTCCATTCCCTTCGTTTTCGTCTCCAAATCGCTTTTTATCTTCAGTCTGCTCTACATAACTTAACCGCCACGATCAGACCAATTTGCGTCTGCGCGCTGACGCTAGTGTTTCAGTCGTCATCTTGAATTGCCTCGTCCATCTTCCCGGTTATCGGACGCTCACTGACATGATGTATTCCCACAGGAACCGCGCGGCTTCGATTTTGGTCATCACCTCAGGTACCGTGTACTATACCTGGGCGAAGTCGGTCGGGACCGCACCTAGCAAGCCTCGTCCGAGCATGCCACAGGACCCAGAAAACCCTGATAAGGAGAATTCCAGCTTCATGAAGGAATATGGTGATGACCGCCTCGAGGACATTCTCCTTGAGCGTCGAGAAGAGGATGAGAAGTAAAGACTGGTTTATGAGGTCCTCTAGGGCATCGTTGGGCCTATCTTTGCAAGACGTCACCGGGAGTTTCTGCAAATCTGCAGTTTCGCTGATGAGTTGCTGAAGTTTAGTGGCACACTTTCTTCTTTCATCTAGTTGAGGCCCATGACCAAACATAAACATCTTGCATATTCTGCACATGCTTCCACGTACTTACAATTCAGGACTTGGTGACGCCACTGATAGGTTCTGACGCTTTTGATACCGGACATTGCTATATCTTTTCCTATATTCCTAGAAGTTGGAGTTATGACTCTCATAATGCCGTACACTTGTACTATACGAAGCCGTCAATGGCTTCCCATAATTTATGACACCAAAGCGATGTTCTAGTTGAACTTTAAACCAATTGATCAAGGCGCTGCTAACTTAGTGACACATACGAATACGATCGCGCTTGTTTATTGTTTTGCCGAGGTGTAGTCGTTCATAACGCCGGGTCATGATGTATACGTGGAGCCTGTAGCAGCGCTTCGGTGACGAACTGGTTCGACGAAAATCAACTGTGCATATGCTGGAGATTTCGCTCCTGCTCTCAGTACGGGCCCACAGATATCATAGCCCATAGCAACGCGAGTTTTTGAGGCCCTTCTTCCCGCAGCCGAAGATCCACTGTCACAATGGCAAGTATGAACGAACCGCACGCCGTGGAGCTGCCTCTATAGAAACGGAATGACGGCCGACTCGTCGCAACCCCGTTAATCGGATAGCTTGAGTCAATAATTAAGAAGCGGGAAGTTACATAGTTCTGTCGAAACGAGGCGCAATTTCCGGTGGAGCTGGTACTTCCTACCGGAACCTGATAGTCTGCTTGAACGTCTCCCGGATCCACTTGCCACGGCGGACACTCTACCGGCGCAGCGCCTCCTGACCCCAATCGCAGAGGACATGTCACGCTATCCATATCCATTTCGTGAATATTTGTTTCACCCACTCCTGTATTGGCTGGGTCCGACAGTCCCACTTCCACGACCGTTGCGATCGGAAGGTTCGATTAATGGGATAGGGGGGGCCGACCGATCTGCAGGCGTTGCGGAGTCTGGCGGAATAGAAACGGCCTTCTGAGACCTCCTTCTCCTCTTGTGACCTTAGCCAAGTCAAAACCGACGGGTCGAGGCTGCACCGTAATCTCGACGGAGAAAGGTGGCCGAAACCTTCCAACTTATCCCCAATCTGTCAAGGTCTAAAGGGCGAAATGCAGGCACAAGGCTACTACACCGTGATTCGAACTGTCGTCGCCTCGCGCCAATAGCTACTTGACCTTTTACAGAGGCCTTGAGGTGAAACCCTAACCCGACCTTAGGCGTTGTCCTGTGGAGTATTCGGAGATAGCAGTCGACAGTTCAGTGACGCTTCGCTAGTGGGAGGCCTCGCGCTCCCGCAGCCAGGCTGAACTTTCCGAACAGGAGGAACGCTATTGCAACAATGGCCGATAATTATGGTGCCGAGTGCAGCCGACGTATAGGGCGTTGTCGCTCTTCCCTGCCAAGGTCATTTGCGCGCCACTCTGCGCGTCCCAGATCAGACACCATGTCCGCTTCAGCTCCAACTCATAGCCCCTAGTTCGATCTGGAAGTTCGGTAAGGCCCTATTCGCCATTCAAAGCTCCATCCCACTGTTGCACTCGCGATTCAACCCCCAACTTCCTCCTCGCGCGCCCTGGTCGTCCTCTGGGTCTGGTGTGTGACATGTCTTTACGCTATGGTCTCCCTACACCTCCGCCACTCAGCAACGAGGAATACAAGGAGTATGTCGATTCGGTGATCCCTTGCGCGTCCAAATCGACGGTGAATCATCAAAGCCGCAAAGAGCCCGCCATCCGCTATGAGCGTAAGATGGGCGACACCGAGCTATCCTATTTCCTTCCCTCTCGTCAGTCGGGCGTAAATGACATGCAAGTATACAGTACCTGCCATCCTTGTAGATACTGATGCACAACTCGCATAGGTATCTGCATCTTGGATTCCACGCGCCGGAACGTCTGGTGCGTCGCGCGCGTGTCTGTATCGTATGGGCCATTTTGCGGTTGCGCCATCCGCTCCTTTCTGCGAGCGTTGAGATGCACGACTACGACGACGTACGCTTTCTGTACGTGCTTTTGTCCTTTACACCACATACATTCTCATCCCTTTACTAGGTATGATGCTCCGTCGTCTGTTGACGCCGCTCTGGCTAGCGCCAATGCAAATTTGGAGTATCGGGCAGACACGAAAGACGGTGAGACTCCTTGGTGTCATGGTGTAGACGAACATGACTCACTTCCGTTTAGAGCTTATTGACTCTTACCTCAACGGCTCTCGCACACTCTCTAATGAACGTCTCTCGTACCTTGTCGTTTCCCAACCCGCGGATTCGATCATGCCCACCCCGCCACGCACGCCTTCGCCGTCACGCACAGCCCGTACAAATACAGAAGTGGCACAATCAGAATCTGGAGAGTATCAGTATGACTTGCTCATCTGTGCCATGCACTTCCTAGGCGATGGCATGGCTCTTCATCAGTTCGCTAACGACTTCTTCGGTCTGCTTGGAGGAGAGCACAGTGACGAAGATCTCACCGACATGCTTCGTTTGGAATGGGATGTTCGGTGGGGTACTAATACCTACCGCTCCGATGGCATCATTCCAGCTACCCTCGAAGACAGTCTCCCAGTGCCTTCCACATCGAGTTTCAGGCGCGCCGCAGAGCATGTCGATTTCCAACTCTCGCAGTCATCTTTGCTTGGTGGTCAGACATTCCCTAAGCAGAAGCATCCCGAGCGGCATACTGTTGTACCTACGTTTTCCATTCCCCACTCGCGTACCAAAGCAATTCTGAAGAAGTGCAAGGAGCAGGGAGTAAGCATCAGCGCGGCACTCTTCGCGGTGTGCAATGTGGCCTGGGCTCGCATGGGTGGTGGGAAGAAAGAGCTTCCAGCGATGATGTACTCCGCTTTGAACCTGCGCCCATACTTCGCCAGAGCTTCCCAGAAGGTAGCAGAAAAGGCGCTGTGGGACTCATATTGGTTCCTCGCGATCGGCTATTTCAACGTCGTCCTCCCGAACTTCCTTCCAGCAGGTGCGCAGGAAGCCACGTTTTGGCACCGCGCGCGACAGGCAAAAGCGCAGAGCGCGGGGGCAGCGAAAAACCGATTCATCGTGTCACGGACGCGGGAGATGGCGAAGGAGCGTGGCACGCGTGCGCGTGCGTGGGGAAAGGAAGATGACGAGCGCGAGCGAGGGACGTGGGTTCCTCCAGCGGATACTCCCAAGCCCCCCTCGGTAAAAGATATCCTCCCAGCTCGTGCACCAGTTCCATCTGCTGCGCTTATTGGGCTTTCACTTCTGGGTAACCTCGACGGGACGTACGCGCACGCAACATTTCCTGCAATCAAGTTGCACACGCTCACCACGGGGTCAAGACAGAGGCACGGAGCGATGCTGCTTTTCGGGTACACATTCAAAGGGAAATTGTGGGTAAGCCTCGGATACGACGAGAACGGATTTAAAGAAGGTGTTGTTGAGAGGTTCTGGGAGGAAGTCGAGAATTGTGTGGAGGAATTTTTGGGTTGAGATTCGGCGACCTCTAGGCCATGAACTTGCTCGGACTTCGAAATGGATCATGGATTGGACTCGGATGGCTTGAATAGGTCTCCCTCTTTACGTGCCGCGTTTAGTAGAGTCAGTGCGAATCTTTAGGACTTCTCAGTAGGAATTATTAGCAGCCCGAGAGTCACTGCACTCACATTCTCTGTATTTGTTATTCTTTCCAGGACTCATTGCCTTTTGATCGCCTCGATGCTATCGCGCCGCTACGATTTCAGTGATTCGTGAGTCAAGGAGTGTCCAATCATGTCGGCGGAAGTGTGAACGGCTGGGGGGGGGGGGGGGG